CTATAACCAGTTTGAATTCGTAACATGTACAAGAAACATTATCAATGAAGAAATCAGCATAGAAAGAAAAAAATGAAACTCTTATGCCACTGTTAAATGTTGGTTTAGGAACATGAGACATCCAACAATGACACCAAGAGTTGTAGACTAGTGGTACTTCCTTGCCTTCCAAAGTAGAAGGTTGAGGCTTCAAGTCCCCACAGGGGCAAAGCAGGTGTGCGAATTTCAACTACGAAAAAAAAAAAAAAAATCATCTAGAAATGACGGTATTCTCAAGGTTGGTCATTTAAGACAATTTAATACTCAATAGACAGAAACATATTCAAATGAATTTCAATTCATAATTATTTATTTGGAATAAATGTATAAAATCATAGCATTTTATATAAGTTGAGATCAAGATGTCCTATTTCATACCAGTAACTCCCGAGTTGTGGGGGAACACATCAATGAGATGATAATCTTATTTGTCATCCAAATCAACCAATACCCAAGAAATATCTTATCCAAAGACAATTATGAGGAAATTTAAGAAATGGACGCACCACACATGCTGCTGCGATCAAAAGTCAGTGTTCCAACTGGTGAACGCCTCTGTTCTCCTCCTTGTGGACCCCATTCAACAAAAGATTCTGCTTCATTGATTCCATATCCACTTGTCCATGTTACAGTCATCTGAGTATAAAGTTTGAAAAGGGGAATCTAGTTGAGATATTGTTATTTCAAAATAAAGTGAAAGCTAATAAGCAAGATTAAGGATGAAGCTGGACATGTATAGGCATTAGGCACAATCTTGTGGACAAGTTAGTTGCCTCCTCACCTGTTATAAACAATGTATGAACTTTGAGAACGACAGTAACAGAAATTTAACTTACTTCGTTCCATGTCTTTCCTTGTGCCAAGCGTGGGTAAACTGGTGCCTTTGGATTCGAAAAAACTACTATATTTGACACCGCCACCAGTTTTGGCTGTTCAATTTAAATAAATTAATAACAAGCATTATATTGCAAAAAGTGTTGGTCATTTTGAAATATAAAACAGAGTATAATCATAATACAACGATAATGATAGGCAAGCAATTAATTTCTCAGTTACTATTTTTAAGGACATTGAATTGTAGCATAAAGCACACTCCTTTTGGTTCCTGGAAAGAATGAGAAGAAAACAAGATGCTTTATATAAAGTTTAATTATAAATCTGATTTAATTGGAAAATTTTAGTTTAACCAACTTGAGAGAGAGAGAGAGAGACTAACATAAATCCAAGTTTATCCAAGACAAATTAATTATCTACATAACTATAACGATTATATGGCAAGAGCAAAACAATCACAAGCATACATTAAAGAATCCACCGGAAAATAGTGCAAAAGAGAAGTCCGATCTCTGCTTGATCAATTGAAGCTTTAAGAATCCCTTTCCAGAGTCTTTGTACGTAGGATTGGTATAATTTGCATACTGGAACTGCAAGAGGTGCAACAGTACAATGTTCAGATATTGTGGCCTCTTGACGTGAGCAAAAAGCAGAATATCCCATAGAAGAGACTCATGGCGAATGTCACAAACCTTAATAGGAGCAGAACACAAAAGCGGAGGATAAACTCTCGAAGTTTCAGGGAGGCAGGTGGAAGCACTAAATGTAGCGAATAGAAATGTTTCCGTTAGATCAACACATTAAAAAATAAAATCAAAGAAAAATATTACTGGGAAACATTATTTACCTGAAATTGGCAGGCGAAAATACTCCAATCCAATCATCAATGGATGGGTTGGGAATGCTATACTGTAAAGTCACCCATTCTGTATTTTGTCCCTGAACAGAGATGAAATTTTGCATTATTTCAAAATTAAACACAATTCCTTCAACATTTAGGATTTGTCCTCTTGCCTCAGTGAATGATATTCCGAAATTGGAAAATAAGGATTCACCACTAAAGAATCAAAAGGCAGTCATTAAAAAGTGTTAGCAGTTACGATATCGACAAACTCATTGGTGTTATATTAGTTTACAGTAATCAAGTCCCTAATTTTCATATGCTCAGTGAATTGTATGATTGGCACTAAACAATCTTAATGAAAAATGCAGTTAAAGCTTACCATCAATCCAAGAACTGGCGGATAAGCTTTCACATAAGCATTGTCATTGAGAGCAAATGCTGCCTTATGAATAGCAATTCTTGAGAGAGGCTGATCCCCATGTGATTTCGCCACTTCGAGGCGCCAAAGAATTGCCAACAAAATGAACCCAAAAACTCCCATCCCACCAAAGATCTGAGCTCAACAACAAAAAGTGAGATATAAAAACATTTCTTCATAGCAAAAACAAAAGCAAAATTTACTTAAAATAGGGGCCAAAGTAATTTATTTTATTTTTTTTCCCCAAGTTGTTATGAAGTTTATTTAGGAAAAACAAAAAAACAAAAACAAAATCAAAGTTTGAAATTTTAACCCGTAGGCGTAATATCAAAATGTAAGAAGATCTTAATTTTGCAATGATTCATAAACAGTTGAACAAACCAATATCAACACCCTTCAGTTTTTCTAGTCCAAGATTATAAGTCTCTCTACTCCCACCAAATTAAAACTAGTAATGTTCACAATTGCGGAACCTTTTTGTACACACCCACCCACAAACTTCTCATAGCAAACAAAAATTGCACATCCACACACACACACACACACAAATACATACATATTTACAACAGTTGAGAAGCATTTTGAAAGCAAGCACATGAGTTGATTGACAAGGCACTTTACCAAAAAAAAAAATTGATTGACAAGGTAAGTAAAATCTGGAAAAAAAATAATAATAATAATAATTAAAAAATGGGTCTCCAAATAAAATGAAAATTGGAAACTGAGTATCTAAATATACTGAAAGGAGCTCATAAATTATAATTATAAAAATAAATACAGGAGAGAGAAGATATGAACTGACCTGGAAAAATACTGGGTTGAGAGAAAAGAGAACTAAGATCACAATTGACGTTTAAGATCATGCAAGTTCAACGCCTTGAAGTTTGTGATGATTTTGAGACAGTAAAAGGAACAAGTGAATACAGTACTATCGAAAAAAACAAACAAAAAAAAAACAAAAAAAACAAGTGTACAAGTACAAAATAGTTTACCTTGCGAGTCTGAATAACAGTTTTGCATACAAAATTGGGAATCACCAAGGAAGATTCGCCCCCACTAGGTCCGTATTTAAAGACTAGTGATGTTCCCAGTTCCCACTCGCAATAATTGATATATTGCCAAGAACACAAGCTCCAAGCGTAGATCAAAATCCTCGTCAGTCGTCACCACCAAGCAATTTATCATTTACCAATATATATATATATATAATCTGTTCAATAAAATAAAATTTTTAAGTAATCATTAAAAATATAATTATTTTTAATATCTTATAAATTTTGAAGTATCTATACCGAATATACTTAAAATTTCATTCTATTTTATTAAATATAGTTGAATGATTAAAGCCGTATATATATTTTAACACCGAAACATCCGCTCTGCGATTATATTAAATATTTATTTACCAAAAATAAAAAAAAAAAGACAACACCTTAAGGCGTCATGTGCGAGCGAGAGCGACCTACCCATTTGTTGGTGAAGAAAGTTGAAAGACAAAAACTATCCTAAAGAGAGAAAATGGCACATTGCAAGGGCTAGCTCATCATAGTAAATTAATTTGTTATTTTCTTTTTCTTTTTTTTTTTTAATTTTAAATTCACATTCTCACTCAATCCTAAATTTTCTATTTGAGAATATGCCAAATATAATAAATTACAGCCTTTGTCTCCTTTTTCTTTTAAAAAGTAAAAGAGTCCATTCATTCTCCACACCCGTTCATAATTTTTTTATATAAAATTATCTATATTCATTAATTTTATTATATTTCATTAAATTTTAACTATAACTGTTTACAATAGAAGGAATACCACGGGGCCACGACCCTTATACTATAATTCATTTCCACCTGCTTAAATGACATACTATACAAAATGCAATTAAGCCTAAAATCAAGTCTACATATATTGACCCAACCAATTTAGCATTCAAAAGATTATTATCGATGTGACCAATTTCATAAAACCAAGCATTAATAGAACCATCTAGATATAAATCAATATAATATACTACCAACTAAAAAATTAAAAATAAAAAAAGACAAATAAAATACCACTATAATGTTAAAAAAAACACATTAACCATACACAAAGCGAGTTTTATACATAAATCAACCACATTTACTAAATGATTCTCTTCACCCACTCTTCTTCTTGCTCTTTAACATAACCAAACACGAGAGTTTGCCAATATGGTGTCATTTGCCTGCAAAGTCAACAGATATTAAAACAAAAAACCCACCAATTCAAATAAAAATGTGTAACCAGTTAAGGCAATTGCTGCTATAGACCTGTCCAGTGGGAAAAAAACAGGTACCATCGAATTCGAGGGATATTTGGCGCTCAAAATCATATGGATTTTACTGCATATCAACGGGATACGCAGAAACTGATGCAATGTGTGGGTGAAAAGAGCATGATTAAGCACAGATCAAGCAATTTTCTTTTTGGATCATTGATAGTCCTGAGTTGCAGCTTTTCTGAAAGTTTTCTTAAAATTGCAGCGTCATGGTCCCTGCCTTCTGTGCATGGCTAAATCCCGCATCCGTAATTAGCTAGGTCGCTAGAGGTTCATGCTAAGGGGTAGGAGTCTTGTAGCGCACATCTCAGACGCTATTTCCCTTTCCCCATATGCCGTATGTATGACTAGTTCAACGCATATTGATTCACGTCTGTCTCATTTACAAATCAATGGGCAAGAATAAATGCGAGCAAATAACAACTCTCTCAGGCCCTGTTTGGTATCTGTTTTGCTTTTGTTGTTTTTGTTGCAGGCCTGCTACAGTAGACCAAATGAAGCCCAAAACATGTTTGGTTAGTTCTATTTTGTTTTGTACAATGATAAAACATTTCAATAAAAAAAGCCCAAAAACTGAAACACCGAAATGATGTTTTAACTTGTTTCGGCACCATTCGCCCATAATATTCACTGTAGCAGAGGAAACACCCAGCCCAACTTAAAACATACTTGCCCTAGGTATATAAACATTTTAGGTCATTTTGGACAACTTTTTCTCTCTCCTCTCCTGATTATGTCTCTGGCAATTCGAGGGCGATTTCAGATTTCACCATCACCGATCAGTTAAGCCCTCGATTTGCTGGTTTTGCTCAAATACAACATGATTTGATTTTGATTTTGTGGTCATCTTTCTCCTCTAAAAAAATAGAAAGTAAGTTCAGTAAATTATAATTTTAATTTTGTTTTCATGTTCATCTTTCTCTCTCTAAAAACGGTATCTGGGTTTGGGTTTGAGTATGGTGATTACAGAGATAGATATGAGAGTGAGTGACAGGGTCCAGAAGTTGCAAGAATCCTAAAGTTGTTGCCTCTCGTCTTCTCCAGCAACGACGATGCCGGAATCAAGAAGTAGTTGATGTGGTTGAAAAGCGAGAAACAGAAGACTTTGATAGAGGAAATTGTCAGTCCAAATCATACATCAGTCCAGCGACCCAATGAAATTGAGGCATAGTTGTTTGAAATTCGATGAAATCGTCACTCCAAATTTGACTAAATTAGGCAGGCGAGAGCTTTTCACCAATAATCGTTTCTCGTCTTCCTTTAACCCAGGGCTGTCAATGGGTGGCCAAGGAGGTGAATTCATCAACAAGTCAAGATCTAAGCTTCTTTGCCTTCCCAACTTCCTAGTCTGCAGGCCAGAAGAGAAGAGTCCAAATCTGGTTAAATTGATTCTATTATAATCCCAAACACTTGATTTTCAGACAACACAAAAATAAAGCCAAACTGTTTTTCAGAAAAGATGACCAATTATAATTTTGTGGTCACCCTTGAGCAAGACAGACAGAATTTTTCAGAAAAGTAGGGAGCAATTTTTCTGGACATTTTTAAAACGCACGACCTACCTTTTCACAACAAAATATCGTCACGTACTTTCAATTTTTTTTCTAAAACACTCCACAACAAAAACATTGTTTCTGTTTTAGCCAAAAACAAAACGCCTGAAACAAAGCGCATCCCAAACGGACCCTCATTTTCTGTTCGCTAAGAAGAAACCCAAGTTATACAGATCATTTAACTGAACAAGGCTTAATAAAGTGTTGCACTTTTTCCATTAAGCAAACAAACATGATGCATGTGTATTGGACTTTTATCTATTTTCTTTTCTTTTTCCTCCACTTTCTCAGCAACCCAAATGTTTATTTTAATTAACACAAACAACAATTAAACATAATACAATCAAAACAAACAAAAAACTGAAAATAAAATAACAAATCAGGAACCTGAAAGACCTTTATGCCTTCACTCCCAACTGGAGAAGCTCTTTAACTGAACTGACAGTAACCCACAATGATTCAAGCCCTCAAACCTTGTCATCTGTCCTTCAATTATTTAAATAGAAGGCTCGATAGCTTCACCTTCTGAACCAAATTGTTTTATATCTCATTTCAGCACTTGGGCATCCCAGATATGACCTTTATGGACTCAATAAGTTGACTTAAACAATATGTACTTTTAATGACTTACGTAAGGGATTCTTTTAATGGCTACTGTTATTTCTTTTTAAATCACTGGCAAGTATACAAATCTATTCGAGTATAGACATGTAGAAACGAGGTCGGGATTCTTAGAAAAATCAGGAAAACCAATCTAAACCTAAATTAATTTAAATCTAACCTAGTTGAACAAGTTGGTTCATTTGAGAAATTAAAACAAAACATGCAAATAAAATGAGATTCAATCAATATAAACAAGGGTTAATTTCATTGACGCCCCTTCAAGTTTGGCCAAATTTCACACGGAAACATCTTTCGAAAATTACTATCACTCAAATCCCAAATCACTTTTCCGTCAATGGCACCGTTAAAAACGTGCAAAATGACAATTTTACCCTCAATTTTTTAATGCTTTTTATTTCAAAATATCAAAAAATTAAAAGGACTAAAATACACTTAGTCTAACACCAACACCTCCCTGCCATCCGAAGTCACCTAAAAAAGGTAAGTCATTTTCCTCTCTCTTGCTTTCTCTCACTATAACACATTACTTCTCTGGTCAAACAATCATAAATTTAAAGACAAAATCCAATGAAAGCCATTGAAAAAGAAGTAATCATCACCAAGAGAAACAGTCAAAAAGATCTCAACACCTTCTGAAATTCAAAGAAGCTCTCAAATCCTCTCACTACCCTGTGTCTATTTATATATATATATACACACACACACACACACATATATGTATATGTATATAACTTTATGGAGCAATTTGTACAAAAAATGAAAGAACCCACCTGGGTTTTCAACCTCTGAAAATCTCGTGAATCTCTTTGAATTTTTTTAATGTTTCTCTCTCTAAAACTCCAGAACCACAAACCCCTTTATGAGTTGTTTTACCATTCTTTGTATCTGTAAAATACTTTTAACTCTTCTAAGCTATCTCCATCAATCTCTATTGCCTTTTCTCGAACATTTAAAGCCCAAAACAAAATATATAGGAGTAATAATCAAATGGGTGTTTCACAAAATTATCAAATGATATATATAAACATGTGTAATTGTGTATGCATCAGCGTAACCATAAATGGCTTAAGATTCCATCAATTGTCATATCAATTCGTATTCAAATTATTAATTGTAACAGCATGAAATTTGGTAATTCAACATGCAGAGAACTCAACAAGGTATATCATGATAAAATAAGCAAGACACCCAATTCTTGTGAGTATTGGTAATCGCGGATTGAAGCCTGACGCAGGACAGAACCAGAGGCGACGAGAGCTGCCCCTACCCATCTTGAATTTTGGCCAGCGGCGATCAACACATCTCGAATGCTCTCACCCTGTCTCTCTATCTCTCTGTTTCTCTCTCTATATCCATATATCACGAACCATCATAACATCTGGTTAGTTAATGATTTTTTTTCTTACATATATATATATATATATATATATATATATATATATATATGGGTATTTTGGTCTTTTAAATGATTTTTTTAGGGTTAAAGTGAATTTTGACTAAGTCAAAGGGTTACAATGTCTTTTTACATGTAAAAAGTAGTCTGACACTGACACGAATGAAAAGTAACTGTTGGGGTGTGAGTGAAAAACGGACAAAAAGTTTGTAATGTGAGTGATAGTTATTTTCGAAAAATGTATTAATGTGATATTTGGCCAAACTTGAAGGGATCAGTGTAGTTAATCCTAAAAACAATTAACTAAGGCATCAGATTCCACAACCATTAAATCCATAACCTTCTAAGTATTCATTAACTAATTCCCAAATTTAGAGTAGCAATCTAAAAATCAATCTACTGCTTTCTCAAGGTTTAGCAATAAGGCATACACGAAATATATATTTAAAGATATATTCTTCTTCGCTTAAAAGAGCAAATTCTAAGCATCGTATGTATCCAAAATATGAAAAACATAAGATCAAAGAAATTTATTATCAAGAGCTATGAAATCAAGCATTGATGGATTTAATATAGAATTTATAACTACTAAGAATACATGATATTAATGGTGAAAAGTTCTGAAATTCAATCAATCATGTGAAGCAAGAATCATAAACATTAAAATCATTCTTAAGGGAATTAAGTAAAATAAAACTAGAATATCATTTCATTAATGGGGTTTCCTCCTCAACTAAGGTTAAGGAAATTAGAATGACATAACTAACACTTTAAACAAACAAAAGAAAAAAACATAAGCAAAGGAAAAGAAGAAATAGCAGCTGCTGTAAAACAGCCCCAAAGCCATGCAAAAACAACCTTGAACCCCTAGCTCTCCCAGCCTTTTTTTCTCCTCCCCATTTCTGCAGCAGCAGTGGCTTATATATAGCCAAAATAACTCAGGCTACTTGCACAAGTAGTTGAAAGCTGCCTTTTGTTTACCTTTTACACATGCTAGTTGAACAAGTTGCTGCCCATTTTCACATGAAAATGCATAGAACACTACACAATCACAAGTAAATAAACCAACAATCTCTAACAAAACGTTTTACATAAACATACTACATAATTTAATAATAAGGACTAGTAAATATAATTTAGGGATAATAATCAACATATAAAATGTGCTCATCAGCTACCACCTAAATATGGAACTACCTTATTTTATGTTACTACCACCTAAATATACAGCAACTCAGTCTCCAAGAAAATACTAGAAAATATCATTATAATTAAGTGAGGTGTATTAATACCAGACCACTTAAACAACAAGCTACAACTTCCAATCATATTCTTTCTCATCTGTGCCAAGCTTCAAGGATCAACTAATTAAGGTTTTTTTCTTTTTTCTTTTTTTCATGAACTAATTAAGGTTACAAGTCTAATACATAATTTAGGAAAATAAGTCCTTAGAAATCTAAATGAAAAAATTCTAGTTTCTATCAGGCTACATTTTTTCAAATGACTTTCCAAAGGTTTGAAGTAAATTTGAAACTAAAACCTGATTAGGCTCTGTTTGGTTGCTACAAATCAATGGACAAAAAATAAGTACTAACAAATTAGAGATCTCTCATTTTTTGTTTGCTAAGAAGAAACCCGTCTTACACAGATCATTTATCTGAACAAGACTTAATTAAGTGTATACTTTCTTCATAAACCAAAAGAACATGATGCATGTGTGTTGAACTTTAATCTCTTTTTCTTTCTTTTTCCTCCATTTCCTCAATAACCCAAAAGCTATTTTATCACAGACAGCAATTAAAACATAATACAATCAAAACCAACAAAATCAAATAACAGATTAGGAACCTGAAAGAGCTTTATGCCTTCATTGACCGAGCGGATAAACTCTTTAACCGAACTGAGAGCAACCCGCAACGAGTCAAGCCTTCAAGCCTTGTCATCACCAAGCTATTCTCCACTGTCCTTCAATTATGTTAATAGAAGGCTCAATAGCTTCACCTTCTGAACCAAATTGTTGTACATCTTTAAGGCGCTTCAGCGCTTGTGCATCCTAGAAATGCCCCTTACAGACTAGATGAGTTGGCTCAAACAACACGCCCTTTGGCTTATCCATTTGAACTATATGATTTGAGCTCCATTTGAACCTTTATATAAGTGACTATTTTGGGGCAATTGGGAGAGACATGGATAAGAACATTGGTTTGAGTCATTTGACTTTTGATGGGTTGTTATGGGACAAATTGACTAACGTCCATCCTAGGATGAAAAACCTTATAAGAGGCAGTTAGGGAGGTGGCATGTGCAGATCTGTTAGTTGGAGCCGAGGAGGTGCAATTATGGATGAAGAAGATGGTGCTAGCAGCTCTGCTGTAAGATGGTTCAGTGGTGATCCCTCCATTCAATTCCACCATACCAAACGTGGCCTCAAGACCTTCCCCCACATGCACATATCACACAGCATTATTGAAGAGCAAATACAAGGCTCTGCAGCTACCATCCCAAGCAAACGTAGTCAGAATCAGGTGCTTGTGAAGTACTAGCATTCTGACCAGCCTGGTTTTTGAAACCGCAAAAAGTTACTGTTTTCCTAATAATCATTTTTCTCAAGTATCTATAAAAATAAAATAAAATGATCATCTTCTTCAGTTTCCATTTTCAATGCTGCCCAGTAGCCTACAAAGTTCTATTCTGCATCTGAGCTATGGCAGCTTGTGATGCAGAAGTTTTCAAAAGCAACATGCTACTTTAGTCTGCTGAATTCCTTTTTACCAACTTCCATAATCACTAACCTCATTACTGAGAGAAGAAGCTTGAGTGAAAAAATAAGCAGCACAAAGATGTGAAGTTCATTCACGCATTCAGACCAGCCCAATTCTTGAAAGCAATAAGTGCTTCCATTTTCCTAAAGTTTCTCTTTCTCAACTTCGATACTTTGAGCTTCTTATGCTTTTCCATGAATATTTGCTTGTACCTCCACTTATCAACAAAAATCTTCATCTCCTGAGACTTCTCCACGACTTGCATCACCGCATCAAAGAAACCACCCTTTACCAGAGCATAAAGAAATGCTTCAACCAAGTTGTGGTCTAATTTGAACCTCTTCTCTCCATCGACTGAAACTCTTCTCTTAACCTCATTCCACAGCATCAAAACACTGAAGTACTTTTCTGCAGTTGCGTACCCATTTATGAGGGAGATGTATGTCTGCTCATTTGGTTCAAACTGAAGGAAAATCATCCTTCTGAAAGTCCTCTTTGCATCTTCTAACCGTCCAGCCTTGCAGAAGGCGTGAATAATTGAATTCCAATCATGCGTACCCACTTCAACTCGAGGGTCCTCTACAACCTCATCTAAGAATGCTGCCATTAGCTCAGGCCGGTGGTTCTCTGTTAAACCTGTCATTATGGTCAAATAACTTCCTTTCAAGTCAGGTATTCTTGCTTCTCTCATGTCCCTAAACAGAGAAAATGCTGATTGAAAATCTTGGCTTGACATGGATGCTTCTATTAGAGCATCATAGCTACCAACATCTAATTGGAGCCCTGAATCACTGATCTCCGCAACCAACTGAGCAGCTTCAGCTGTTCGTTGCTCTTTGCAGTAAGCCTGTAAGATTGACACATACACTCCAAGCCCAACACAACCTCCCTGAGCACTCATTTCATTAAGAATGCTTTGAGCCTTATCTAGAAACCCAAGATTAACACAAGCATTGACAATTCCATATCCAATAGATCTATCAGCCACAGTCGATGAAGGCTCCAACTTTTGGGCTTCAATTATCAAACTCGTTAAATTTTTCATACCGGTTTCAAGAAATGCTTTTACCAGTTCACTATAAATTTCTTCCCTAAAACATGAATCTTGTCCATCTCCTTCTCTGATACTACGCAGAACAATTGCTGAAACAGACTCCAATTTACCTGCCTTCACATACCCACTAATCAAATTACTGTAAAACACCCTTTTGTTCGAAAAACCAAATCCACTCATCAAATCTTCTAACTCAATTATCTTTTCTTCAAGCCCTTTCAATGCATACAAATAAGCAAGAAATCCGAAACTCAACTCATCAGGCTGAACACCAAAAACCGACATTGTTTCCACCACTTTTTCGGCATCACTTACTGATTCAAGGTCGCGGCAACACCCCTCCAACGCCGCATTACAAGCTATCAAATCGGGTTTCATGAAACCCAACTTTTCATCTAATGCAATCCTACAATTCTCATTGAAAACCTGCAAAAACGCTACAAAGCTACCATTTTTCCTACTAATATCAACCAGAACATTACCCCAAACGCTAAAAGGTACAAAATATCGATTCTTGAACATGCACTTGATCAATGCAAAAGCAGGGGCACCAGTATTAGCCATTTTCATTGAATTCAAAAGGGTTTCAACAGTTCCATACTCCAACAATTTTGGGTTTTTCTCTAGCAAGAAAACCACAGAGGCAAAAGCCCTCTTGAGATTGTGGGTGTCAGTGACTGAAGACAAGTGGGTGATGAGAGAGTTGGTGAGAGGCTTACTTGGGAATGAAGCGCTACTGGTGAGGGCCTTGAAGGACTTCCATGCCTCATCAGTGCTGTTGCTGTTGAGGGATGTCTGGAGGGTGGTTTCTAAACTGGTTTGGTGATCTAGGGTTAGGGTTTGTGAGGTTGTTTCTTGGGGTTTGAGTGGGTTAGAGGAAGTGGGTGTGGTCTTTTTCAGGGCAAAGATTGATGGTTGTAGGAAGGAATAAAGGGATGGGATTTCAGGTTCAGAAGAGAAGCGCCTTTGTGGAAACAACGACAGAGCTCTTCTCCACATTCTCTCTGCAACCCACTCTCTCTCTCTCTCTCTCTCTCTCTCCCCTCCCTCCACCCCCCATGTTGTTGTAGCGTTGAAAAAAAGGAAAAACTTGTGTGCTATATGTATAAATATATGTAGTTATTGATTCCAAAACAAAGCTGGAATAGCTCAGTTGGCTAGAGCGTGTGGCTGTTAACCACAAGGTCGGAGGTTCAAGCCCTCCTTCTAGCGCATTTTTGACATACCATCACAATTAATATTCTTCCATCTTGTTTTTTTCTTTCTGGTTCTTTTTGATTCTTCATTTGGGTGGGTAAATAAATCATTGACATAAAGATTTGAAATCTCAACCTTTTATTCGAAAGGAGGAAGAAATGTCGCCTCAACTAGTCACTGAGCAATAATTCCAGTGACAACTTTATTTCCTACTTACGTATCTAAAAACTATATTAACTAAGCCCTTTGCAGTAATTCCGGTGACAACTTTATTTCCTACATATCTATCAAAAAACTATATTAACTAAGCCCTTGGCACTAATTCCGGTGACAACTTTATTTCCGACCTATCTAACAAAAAATTATCTTCCTTGAAACCCCAATTTGAATCCACCTATGGCTCTTACGGTATCACTTCATTTCAGTCATGAACATTTTTAATCATTGAGTAATGCAATGACAACATTTTTTTCTCATTGCTGCTCTTTGTTCCCTTATGTATGACAGAGCAAGTTTCTCCTTAATTTTCTTGTTCCAAGTCCTAGCTTGTCTATGACATCCAAAACAAAAATGTGGTGAGAGTTTTGATGCATCCACAAAATCATATTGTGGAAGCAAATAACCAAGTCAGAGTTCACGACGGCGATTTCTGCATTGTCCTGTGTCATCAACCCTGAAAGTTACTGTTTTGCTAGTATTTTATACAAACCATGCACTTCTAAAGCATTAAAACTACAGTTCCAGATAAAGCAGTTTTTGCTTGCTTGGAATATGAAAGAGTAATCAATATTTTACAACATAATTAATGTATGTTCTCCATTTTCTTTATTTGTCCACTGTATTCCCAAACAATCAAATAGAACTTTGAAGTAAATGCCATGTGTGAAGAAGAAACAAGATTCATGATCTTCACCACAACACAAATCAGAATGGCACGTAAGAAATTCACATCTATTTCCATTCAGAATATCTTCCTCTCTTTTTTTTTATTTTCACTGACAAATGATTGGATTCAACACGCGGTATCTCTTGACTAAGCTATATATTTGATGAATTATATAACATGTTTGGATCTTCCATCTGCAAATTCTGTCATATATCGCTGCCTTATACAACACGCTTGGATCTTTCACCTGCATTATTAGTCTCGATGCCCTGATGAAGCCATAAGAACACCAACAGCCACAATAAACATTGACAACATGCCTACGAGCAATATATATGTTCTTCTTGACGATTTCCTGTACTCTCCAAACAGAAGTATGCCCCAAAAGGTGCTCACAAGCGGAAGTGCCTAATTGTACCAAACAAAGTTTAAACGGTTAAGCAAAAGGACTTCACACACACACAAACACCAATTTCACAATTAGAGAGTGCAAGTCAAAATGTCCTTGAAATAGGGTTTTTCTCCGAAGATTGATATAGGAATGTAAAATGTCAAACTAACCTGAACAGCATCAGCTGCTGCGTATCCTGCAGCTTGACCTCCCATGAATTGGAGACCATTTCCGAACCCACAGAGAAGTCCGGCCAATAAGGCCCAGCCTCGGCCATTCCAGTCCATCACATAAGCCCTTAATGATGATCTAGGCAAGTTCAATACGGGGTGATACAGGAAGGTGACATTTAGAATGATGGCGAGCACAAAACAAGAGACCGAGAAATAGAAAAATGCAGTGTAGACACTTAAGTGAGGAACACCCTCTTTCAAAGTCTTCCACTGGTCATTTGTTGCCAGGTTGAATGCTGGTGAGAATAGAGAGAAGCAAGCCCCGGCAAAAAAAGTTATGACCAATCCAATTACAGTGCTCTTGCCAAAAACCTGCAAGCAGAGTCATACCAATTGTGACTACTATATACACAGTCATTTACATACAAAAATTAAATTTCATTTACATACATATATGATATAGCAGCATAAATCTCAACACATACAAGAATACGTGTTTGAATGTACTCCTTACCAACACTACTTATTCCGTGTGTGCTTCTATGGACAAAACATCCACAGAGAAACGCGAAATGCTGTTCATAACATAATGTGTGATAGTGTTGGTGAACTCGGCCATTCTGTACAAACAGCTGGCTTATGCAGTCTATTACATTCATATAAATGCACGTAAGAAATTTATAAACAAAAATAACACGAATTCTAGAGTAAAACTAATCATGCATGTCAACCTTGATTGCTCTTCTGTTCTCTAGCTGTATAAGAAAGTCTGCAGTCCCAGCTTTTGGCTTCTCTGAACTGCCACTTCCATTCTCCAAATCACTTGTTCCAACTGTGGATGTCCAACATTGAAAGAAAACGGAAAACATATATATCAAATCAAATTATGAAATGGAAGTAACCACAAAGACATGAAATTCGAATTCGAGAAAGTTTCTCACTTGTGTTTGTATTTTTTTCTTTTGACCCAGTGATATCCACAGCTCTGTCAAAAGTACATTTTGGTGGTAACGTCAGTGCTTTTAGATCAATGTTGAATAAAGAAGTGGAATACAAAATTTTTAGCTAGACAAGTTAATTAAGCCAGGTACAAGGATAAGCCAAGAACAAGCATTGCCAAACACATTAAAGACTTATTTTCAAACCATCACAAAAAAAATAAATAAATAAATAAATAAATAAAAAAGAAAAAAATAGGGTTTTTGATAGAAAAGTGTACCCCGCCCCAGGTTTGTAGTCCTTCGACACACTGTTAAGCTTTTCTTTATTATCAGCTGCATTAGATGTGTGAACAGCAGAGCCAAGACACACTGCGACCAAGAAGCATGCAACACCAGAGAAGAGAATCTCGGCTTTGTTGATTTTGTTATCTAAGAAGTAATTCAAGGTTGTGCCTGTTACAACAAGGACAAGTCTACATGTCAAATTCCACATAAACCTCGTACAATGTATTTAGAAAGGTAATATTTCCAAGAAATTAAGTTCAATTAACCCATAAAGGAGAATATCATACCTATGACAACAGTTATGCTTGAAGTGACCACCTCAGTCACTGATAAACCGACGAAAGCCCAAGCATATTGCGTGGCCAGGTTTCCAAGGCTGAGGACTATACCACCGGCCATTGCAAACAAAACAGAGGGCCAATTGTCCTGCATCAAACACCCTAAAAGTTCAAAAACCAGTTACAAATTGAATATCGTGCAGATAATTTATACTATATATTTGAAATGAAAAATGCATGGTATTTGGTTGGGATGATAGACTCAAAATAGCAAGAACCATGAGCTTCTTGCAGGTGAAACTAGTTAAACAAGACACATAGCATCAAACCAAACCACGAAAGCCAATTCAACCACCCTAAGCATGTGTCCATCTAACAGTGCAACAAAATCTCAGATCCAAACAGCAAGTGAAATTCCCTGATGCCACAAGAACCTTGGAAGGTGTCTCATTTTCGACAACCATGAATTATGCCTACTCCCAGCACTCACACCTGTAATGTTGAACAATATCCTAGGGTCGATAAGGTACCGTGCACATAGCTTTATCTGCCAAAATTTTATTACGAACAAAGCTACTGCTCTATTGTGCAAGAATAATGTCACTGAGATGATATCAACAAGGTTAAAAAATATATATATATATATATAGCTGAATTCTGATGTGCCCTAAAACAAATTGTTCTCATACTTGCATGGCATCTTCTAAATGAAGCTATATATATGCTGCAGAACAACTATTATGTACTTCTGAATCGTGTAGTCTGCAGGACTCATAGTTCCATAGGAACAAAATTGAAAACTCATCCAAAGAATAACAAGTAATTAACTGTTACAACTCTAAAATTAGTCTTTAGGAATCACCTAACGCCACGTGCTTCCCCTTTCAACTGTAAAAAATCTTTTAGGAAAAATATAGCCAATTCGAGTGCATATCAAAAGAGTCGTTCCCCATCCAGGAGCTACTTTACCATATTCCGAATTCAATAATTTCAATAGACTCCCCACAACAGTTCATCAACTAGCGGTATGTTACAGAATCCATAGCCATTATATTTGTTTTCTTTCCTATTTCAATATTTAAGATGGTCATACGTAATTCATTCAAGTTGTGGTATGGCCTTTGCTCTTTATAATAATTGGAGAAATGAAATTCACAGCATCATTTAAAGCCCTATGCTAACAAAGACAATGGCACTTCCTTAAAGGGAAAAGTTAAACAACATTTAGTCATATCCCGAGGTTTCAAATAGAACAAATATAGACCTGCAATCAAGTGAAAAAGATTACAAAATGGTTGATATCACAAATCTAAAACTGAAAATGCAGTAAGAAAATTTAAATGACATACCAATATCATTACATATATCAAGCTAGATCATTCAACTGATAGAAAAAAGCCTGTTTTATGCTACTTAAAAATACCGGACAACCCCCAAAGATTATAAAGGATGCTCACCTGAGCAAGCTGAGTTAGAAAATTTGGCGTGCCCTTGCCAATCTCACCAAGTGTGAAAGCAATCAGTATTGCGGCCAAGAGATTGGTCATTGTGTAATCAAGGTAAGTGTGCTGAGGAAGACGACCCCGTCTTTCTAGGAGAGTCATAATAGCAGGCCATGTGCCCAAGAATAAGAGGGCAAGCAGCATACATGCTATGGCACCTCCTTTGCTCTCCACCACATACATCTTCAACCCACCAAACACACTCCCCTCAGTTGGAAGACTTATTAATGGAGAGAAACCAGAGAAATCCTAACAAAGAAACAAAAAACCAATCTCAATTAGAATCTTTTTGTTGGCTATTTTATCAAAGCATAATGCCATATCCACAAACTTGAGAGGCCAATATTGGACTTGGAATAGGAGTAGTACAATGTATTGATAATTTTACTTACTAAAGGAAATTTGAAACAAAAGAGACACCCAAGTCAGAAACCACTATAATAAAAATCAAAACAAAGAAAATAACCAAATTTTATTTAGATTCTTTTAATGGCCATTTTATCATATATATACAAACTTGGGAGGCCAAGAACAAGAGAGCCACCAAATCAAAAGCCACTAAAATTCAAATCCTAACATTGAAAAGAACCAATTTCAATTAGATTCTTTTGTTGCCCATTTTTATGTAGCATATATACAAACTTGGGAGGCCAATATTGGACTTGGAATAATAGTACTACAATGTTGTAATGTAATTTTTCTTGGTAAAGAAATTTAAGGAAATTTGAAATAAAAGAGGCACCCAAATCAGAAACCACTAAAACTGACAAAGAAAACAACCAATTTTGGTTAAATTCTTTTGTTGGCCATTTTGTATAGCATATATACAAACTTGGGAGGCCAATATTGGACCTCTAATAAGAGTAGAGTACTATGTATGTAATGATAGTTTTACTTACTAAAGAAAATCTGAAACAAAAGGCACCCAAAATCAGAAACCACTAAAACTCAAAAGGTCTAATCAGTTGCCTTGAGAAACTGTAGATATTATGATACATAACCAAATTGAATGAAAAGAAGCACACAAACATAACCAGAACATGAGAGAGAGAGAGAGAGAGTATACAAAGCCAGATCAAAGTCATAGGTATGATATTCAAGAAAGCAAGAAAAACAAAAACCAGAAAAATACAAGTCAAATTAAAACTGGCTGGCATGTGAGAGAGTAAATTGAGTCAATGAATCACATCCCATAAGGCCATAACATATCCACTCATTAAAATCATAAATATGGGAACGCATTAAAAATCAGCCCACCCACTCACCATCACAGAGAAATTCCAGGCAAAAAAATTTTAATAAAAATCATATAATATTGATAGATTCAAGAACCAACTGTCTGTGTGTGTGTGTGTGTGTGTGTGTGTGTGTGAGAGAGAGAGAGAGAGAGAGAGGGGTACCTACCAATAAAGAGAGATATGGTGAAACAAGCAACTATTTGGGAGAACCCAATTGGGTCATAATCATGAAAAATGATCCCACATGACAACCACAGGATCTCGATGGAATCTTGAAAATATGGTAGTTTTTAAGGTAGTTAAGACTTGCAGATGCAGTGACAGTTGGGAAATTTACAAACGCAATGTCAAAAATTTGCAGAGAGATGGCATTGGTTGAGGGCGTTGATTCAGGATTCGTCGGTTTTATTTAAGTAACTGCATATATATATACATGAAGAAATGTATATATATTATATACACTTCTTCATGAAAATTGTTTTTCCCTGTATTGCAGATTTTTTGAATCCAATCATTTTTCAACTTTATATATTTTTCGTTTTATTACCCCAACTTTCAATTGCACGTTCCTTGTTTTGTGTAGACTTTTGGCCGGGTTCATCACTGGTCAAAGGAATCGCGACAAAAATGGTGTCACATTAAGAAAAAGTGGCCCAAGTGTGTATCACTCTCCACTCATACCCTTTTTGGTTTTTGCCTTGCTAAAACAATCAACCAAAGACTTTGTCACCTTTGAAAGAGAGCTAGATATTAAGTTTTTATAGATGGTTATGAATGTGTGAGTGTATTTTTTTTTGTTAATAAAAAAAATTTAAATAAAATAAATAATTTATATATTAAAATGAAATTATTTTCGTATAGGTCTTTGGTGTATTTGGATTGTGAAACAATTTTATTGGACAGAATTTAGATTATAATATATTCTTTTAATGAATAAAATTGAAATTGTATTTCAATTAGATGGAATTTCAAATCCTTGTAGTTTGGTAGTACTTCCTCAACTTTAAGTTTTCTCACCTTTTAAAGTAGAAGGTCAAGTGTTAAAGTTCTCGTAAAGGTGTAAGGGTAAATGTAGGTGTAATTTAGCTTACGGTGACATCATGTAGATCTTTCAAAGAAAAATGAACCAATCATACATTATGTATTTATAGTATCACGAAGAAAGTATTATATGGTTCCAATATCGGCCTATCACCGATTGACACGGACGCATAATTGGAATAAAGTCGGAGCGTATTTCTAGTATCATGAAGAAAGTATTATATGGTCCTAGTCTCATCCAATTACCAATGGACACGCAAGCAAAAGCTAAATAAATCCAGAGGAATTATTAATGGCCATGGACCATGGACACTTGGTGGACCAATTTAATTTATAATACAAAGAAATCTAAACAATGCATGGATTCAACTGGTCCACCAAGTGTTAAATGGTTCTAGAGCATCTAATAAATTTTCATAAAGATGACATAAAACTTGTAAATTTGTTTATATGTTAATCAATGATGGTCCGCACTATGTAATAATTTCTCTTAAAAAGAAAATAATATGACTAGTTACTAGGTAACAAATTATCAAAGGTATTAATGTTGCGTTTGGTGTACGGGAATAAAATGGAATGGAATACCCATTGCAACCATTTCTTTGTTAGGTATGCAATTTAAAGTGGAAATGGCCATTCCATTGGAATGAAAATTCATTCCACTACTAAACCTATGGAATAACCATTCCATTCCCAATTAAATTTTTTTAAAAATAAATTTCCCAAAAAACCTTTATGTTTCCAGTCCAAAACCACATCTACCTTGCACCATAACCACTTTTGCCTTTTACCACCACCACCACAACTGCCACCGACTTTCACTACCACCCACCGCTTTCCACCACCACCACCCCCACTGACTTTCACCACCAACACCGCCTTCCTTTGCCGCAACCGCCGCAACGTCATCACCGCCATCCCATTTCACCACAGCCACTACTTTCCACCACCAACACTGCCGCCATCGCCTTTCTCCATTGCCGCCACTTTTCACCGCCCTCGCCATCGCCGCTGTCTTCCACCATCACCGCCTTCCACTACCACCGCCACCGCCACCACCATCATCACCTTTCACCACCACCATCGCAACTACCTTCCACCACCACCACTATTGCCACCGCTTTCCACCACCATCTCCTTTCACCACCAGCGTCACCGCATTTCACCACTACCGCTTTCCATCTCCACCACCATGCACTAGCGACATTGGCACCATTTATTTTTAAAAAAATTGTAAAATAATGTCATTTTGTTAATTTAATATGTTTATTATTAAAAGGGATATTTTGGAGAACTCAATTTAAACCAAACAATAGAATGGTTATTATTATTCCATTCTTACACATTTCATATTTACAACCAAATAATAGAATAAGGATGATCATAATAAGAATGATCATTCCATTCCATTCTCATTCTCATTCCATCCCCACTTACATTCCATTTCTACTTGCATTCCATTTCATTCATACACACCAAATACTGCATAAAAGATATTCTGTTTATATGAGCTTCTGAATGATTTTACAGTGAAGTGAACATTTTATAGGGAATTTATTTTAGTTTCCTCTATTTGCTATTATTAATTTTTTTGTAAGTTACATGAAGGAAATTTAAATCTTTTTAATTGAATACTTTGGCATAATTACCCTCAAGTTTGTTGTCACTACAATAATGCATTTTTTACTCGAGTGTGGTGACCGTTTCTATTTTTATCACGTTCTATCGTCGCTATAAATTAATTAGTAGCTAAGAATATTTTATGACCTTATTAGCCTTTTTGCTCTAATTCCATCCCAAACCCACCATCATCCATTGATTCACTTGCTATAACGTGGAGAACTTGTTTGTTTTAGTGAATTTTTAATTATATAGTATAGCGTAATTATGACGTTATTAAGCAAACGTGGTATTACTAATAAATTAAATATCGTCATCCAGACATATAGAACTGATTATATATTTTTTAAATTTAAATACATGTATTAGATGTCTCCCACACCACATCTAGAGCACCAATCGAACTATATAGTTGCGTTAGCTGGTTAGATATTCTCCAAGCACATTACTTGCTTACGCAATCGTACCTTTGACCAATTTTTCAAAAGATAACGTGAAAGCTAGTGAAAGAAAAAGCAAATAAATCATGAAAGAGATATGATGGTGTTTGTTCTTCAATTTGCTATATATTGCATGTCATCTAGATGTGATAGAGAATACTCATGACTTTATATTTTTGTGTCATGCATTTCGCTTTAACATCATGGAGTCCATAATTTCACTGCTGGCCTGTCCATGTTAATTGTTACATGCCTAGACGATATATATATATACATATATATATATAGGTAATTACATACCTTATCCACCACTTCTCTCCACAGTCCACATCATTCCTGGACTGAAAAACGTGTTTTTAAATATTTTTATGTCAACTATGATATAATATATAAACAACGGTCTCGCCAAGACGTTGCTTATTTTTTTCATTTGGGAAAAGTACAAAAACTTATGATTGAATTTGTAAATAATCCGCGTATCCAGAAATGCCATGTTAGTCGTATCAATAACGTGCATCTTATTGTATTGTACAAGGTAAAGTGTAAAAAAAAACCCTAAAAATATTACCCTTTTGTAAATAACTCCTTGAATTATAAATTGCTCCCTTAAACGATTAATTTGTTGTAATTAAGGACAAATTTATCATAAAAGATTATATTAGCTTTTCACATTAAAACCCGTTTGGGATTGTTAGAATACTGAAAGCTCTTTTAACTATAGAGCTGTTTCAAAATTGCTGTTAGTAAAAATCATGTCATGTGTTTGATAATACATTTTATAAAACACTTTTGTACTTGAAGCACGTATAAATTCGTTTGATAACAATATTTTTTAAAGCACTTTTATTCTTAATTTACTAAAAACTAATTTGATTCGACTCTGTTTATCGGTTTCAGTTAATTTTTTTTTTTATTTTAATTTAGATGGGGCGAAGTTTAAAAATAAAAAATAAATAAAATTAAAATATATTTGAAAAGAAAGAAAATTAAAATATATTTGAAAAAGGAAATTTGACCTTTTTAAAAAAAAATTTAAAGAACAAAAGAAGAAGGAAAGGAAACACGTTAGAACTTCACTTGATTTAAGTTTAAGATATGATATACATATATAAATATATATTATATAACATATTAACGGTTCGGTCCTGACTGGTCCGGTCCAACACGACCCTAAATCAGGACCGGACCGAAAAATTATGGTTCCATAATTTTGGATCCAGGACCAGACCAAACCGTTATACAACTAGCACAAACCGCCCAATTCAGTACGGTCCAATCCGATTTTTCGGTTTGCCGGATTTTTTTAACACCCCTAACCAAAAATCCTTAAAATCCAATGAAACCAAAACCCCCGAACCACAGTTTCGAGTTCCACAGCAGCCCATCAGTGCAAAGCAATGACAAATACAATGTATCTGTTCCATAATATAAAAGCAGGAACTCCATAAGTAATTTTTATAAAATATTGTATATATTTAGAAGTAGCTTTCATATAATATTTTTTGCCACATACCAAAACATAATATTTCTGTGCCATTAGGTAGAAAACACACACACACAGGCGATGTTCTGAACTTACAATGCAAAAGAACAGTTCTGATAGTTCTGATATAATTTTGACTTTGTTCAGTGAACTTTTACTATAAAATTCTTTCATATATATACAAAGAAAATTTCTGCAAAGCGAGTATGTAAAACAACTCCATATGAACAAGGTGTTGATGTAGGCCTCACTGAGTATCAAGTATCGAAATTCATTCCAGATAAAGAACAAATTGAACTAAAAGCATATAAGAAATGCGCAAGACTAGTGCACTTATTTCACACAAAAAGCTTCAAACACTAGTGGCCAAAGAACTCGTCGCCACCCAATAACGCTGTTGTGCCACGGTTGTCGCCAGAACGTATTTCCTGAGTCATGCATAAACTGTAAACTACATATAAATGAAAAAAATAATAATTTGATGCCAACAAGAAATCAGCAAGAAAGGGGTAGCTTTTCTCACTTTTATACCTGTATTATCGCATCACAACAATGACTGACCTTTGAACCTAAACTTCCAAAGTACCCTTCCGAACCATGTCTTGGAAAAAGTTTCCGAGCAGCCTCTGATCAAGAATCATATTGGGTAACTGCAAAACAAATCTAGTACGTTCAAAACCGCAATATATATAAAGATATATCAGTGAGGGATAGAGAAATAGTCTTAACCTTGTTTCCAAAAAATATTTTGGTGTTGTTAGTAATCGCTTCAATGAATTTGAGCTCCAAAAACTGTGATGTAAGCTTCAATTTGTTTGCTTCAGCTTCCTTCATTGACCTGTAAATGAAGGAGGCAATTTCATTAGTCATTTCATGACATCAAATCTTTAGGGAATTAATAAACAAACAAATATTGTGTGTTTGTGTCTGTCTATATAAAGGCAAGGCAAAATTTACTCACTGATAGAAACTGGCATCTGCCAAGCTCTTTTCACGAGCTCTGTACATTTCATTTGCAATTTCCTCTTGCCTCCTCGCACTGTCTTTCTCCGCCAACTTTTGTTCCATCTGGATCATGCTAACTTGAGCATGCTTCTGTGCTTCACTTATAGCTATCTTCTTCTGAGTCTCTGCCTCTTTCTCAGCTACTCGCTGTTTCTCTATTGCAATCAAGACCTGCAGAGACATCCATTACCACAGAAATCAGAGTAATTTATTGTTGAACGGCCAACTCTACCACCTTCTCTCTATCTCTCAGCCCAACCCTAAGTCACATAATGTGGGAACGCAAGCAAGACCGAGAGTGAGAGCGAGAGCGCAAAAGCGGCAAAGTCTAAAATTAGTTGAGAGTGGGAGCGTCTTGAGAGCGCATGTATATAATATATTTTACGTCATATATATATACATATATATATAAAAAAATTTTATTTTAAATTCAAGTGATGTTAAAAATTATAAAATGCCCACATAAAAGGTCAGACCCACCCATCTACGCCTGTTAGAACTTATAAATGGCCCAGACCCACCTATCTATCCCAGCCCAACACCATAACAGTTTCATACTTTGGAAAAAAAATAAAACTCAGCCCATTACCATTTTAAAAGACCCAAGCCCATATTCTATTAAGTATAATCCTACTCTTTTTGCAATTGAATCATCAAGATCAGCAGCCAAGTTACCAGCGGCGGAGCTCTGTATGCCAAGAAGTTATCTCGATGGGCAAAATCACAACCTACAGCAGCATCACGAAAGATTCATTGTCCATTGAAGGAGATCTCATCGGAAGATTAGGCTTCATATTTGGAGATAGAAGTGACTATAGCTAGTGCTTTTTTATTTCATCTTCTGATCTGCGAACACACATATATAGATGCATATATCTCTTCAATCTTAATCTTCTCTCTTTTTATTTACAAAAACAAAAAATAAATCCGAACGACCATACATGCCATGTCTTCCGGTGAGTCAACATGTATTTAGGCAAAAGACCGAATTCTAAAAGTGAGTTCGCAAATTCGAAAATTGAGTTCGCAAACTCAAAAACCTGAATTCACGAATTTGGGGCAAATCCGCTCCCAAAACGTCGATCCGCGTGTGGAGCGCTGGAGCGGCAGTCCTCCACGCGAATCGTGTGACTTTGGCCCAACCAGAGCACCAAATGTTTGGGAATAAAAAAACAAATGAAATAGTAAGATGAACATCCAAATTCATTTGAACCATTCAAACTCGAATCCCAACAGCAAAGTTCTCCTGCCCAAACACCAAATCTCTGGATTTCTGGTATTAACGGAAATCAAAACCCACTACTAATACCTCTAACACAGACATTAACCAACCTAATCAAGACCCGGCCCCATTAACCACTCACACACTAAGCTTGTCCCCAACCACCCAACGAGTTTCACCTTGAACCCCCCTACTGCTCCTAACCCTAACAACAGCCCACCCAACGTTTTGGCCAGTGAAATGGGGGTAACCTGACAATCAATTGGTAACTCATGGCCCTCATCTCCCAAGGAGATGGTATATGGTAGTCCAATACCTGCCGCTGAATTGAATGACGTTTGATTTTTTCAAACCAACATCTTTTTTCTTTTTTTTTTGTTTTCATTGGAAAGAAACGCACTCACACGCACTTTGTTGTCCCTATGGGGACTTGAACCCTCGACCTTCTACTTTGGAAGGTGAGGAAGTACCACTAGGCTACAAAGCCCTTGGTTCAAACCAACATCTATTGTTTGCAAAATGTAGAGTGCCAAGGATCTTGTTCCAACTCTTGCTGATGACAATGGATTCTACCTATCCCGGTTTGCTACGCCCTTGGATGGTCACACGTCGTCATATAATCTTGAGGCAATGGCACCCTAACATGGAATGGAGTAGCTTTGTCCCAATTTAGGTCAAACCATTCAAACCTTCCGCTTGAATTTTGGACTGCTAGAGGGTTGAGCTACTCAGCGAGTGTGCCGTTGTTCATCCGTCCCGTGAACAGAGAATCACAAGCATGTAAGCTTTGTGTGCATGTGTATCGAGGTTGATGCAGCTGGTTTGATGATAGATTCCTTTCAATTAAGGGGTGAAAGCTATGTTACGGTTAAGGTTGAATACCGAAATAAACCCTTACTGTACAATTCATGTAAGGGATTCAACCATGCTACAGGGAGCTGTAACAGAGTTGTTCAAGAGTGAGTTCCAAGGAATAACCATCCCACTACTAAAAGGTCTCACTTCGAGAGTGGAAGCTGGTTCGAAGGAAATCACCTTCATTAGCTTCTCATGAGAAACGGTTTACTACTCAAAATTCATGTAATGACATGCAAGCTGGACCGTCAAAGCTAGCATCTTCATTGTGTCAACCTGGAAATAAAGTTACTGACTTGTCCAAGGGAAATCAGTTTTCAGATCTGTTTGAAGAAGAAACTGAGGAAGGAAATTAGTTTGAACCTAAGCATGAAGGCCTTGATGATCAAAGAAATAATAACCAGAAAGGGTGGTCCGATTGTCGAAGGATTTTACGTGAGGCTTTGGCATTCGAAGAAGCAAAAGAAGAGCAAGAAAAGGTAAGCTTCTTCCATGCAAACTCTGAATGGTTTTAGGGGTATGCTTATAGTCTCTAGATTATCAAATCGACTCAATTTGCAGCTTGGGATGTCTGGGGGTTAAACAACCCCTCTAGACAGATTTAAGATAGAAAGCTCATTAGACAATTTAATCTCCCTGTTGTTGCTCTTATTAAAACAAAGGTTTCTCATCCTAGACTAGATATAGTCCATAATTCTCCAGCCCTCTTTTGGAACCTTATGCATAACTACTCTCACTTAGATCTAGAGAGAATCTGGCTACTGTGGAACCTGAAAAGATTGTTATTCGCAAACTCTCTGAGAATAGACAAGCCATGCATTGTTTCGTCTAAATTTTCGAGTCCAAGGCAGACTTTAGTACTTCCATTATTATGGTGCTAACAGTGCAGTGGAGAGGAAGAATCTTCGGATGGACATTGTTCAGCAAGCTGGGAGTATTCAAGGCCCATGGGTGCTGCTTGATGATTTAAACACTATCAAATACCCAGGAGAAGGAAATGGTTGTCGAAGATATAGGTTCTCGGTAACCACTGACAAGAATCATTTTTACACATTCAATTTTCTTTTAAAGTAGGTTCTATTTTACATTTTTTCCCCACCCCAACATTGTTCAGTGGAAAACGAATACAGGAGAAAGTATAGATCCTTAGATATCAGAAAAGAAAAAGGAAAGTACCTTTGTGCGTTCCTCTTCCATTTGTTCAAAATTCCGTCTTATACTTTCTGGGATACTAGGTTTCGTGACACGCACACTCAAAATTTCAATACCTGGAGCATAACGTGTGCAATCAGACTGGAGAGCATCTTTCATTTTTTCATCAATCTGAAAATATTCAAGTGACTTTATCAGCTAATCGATATCTAAAGATTCACATAAGATACTAGCTAATTCAATCATGAATGGCCACAAGTTATGTGCATAATTTTTATTATCAGAATCAGCCACGATGACGAGAAAATACATATCAAAAGATACTTCTAATATCTCAACACTAAAATCATTAACTACTACTTTGTCAATGGAAATCACTAAGCTGCGTTTGGTTAGATGGAAATAAGCAAGAAAAGAAAAAAAATAGAAAATGAAGAGAAAGTGAAGTGAATGACAAGAAAAGTAATTTTCTAGCATACATTTGGTTAGCATGAAAATTTATTCAAAGTAGGAAAATATTAGTTAGTTAGTTTGGATGGTAATGAAAGTAAAAAGAAAGTGATTATACATACCAAAACTATCCTTATGATTTCAAATGTTAAAAAAAAAAAAAAAAAATTGTGTTTAATTATATTCATTTTTGGTAAAGAAATAGTAAAATGATGGATTATTAAATTTAATAATATATTTGTTTAATATTTATTTCTATTATTTATATTTAAAATAAGGCTGCATAATATTTTTTTTTAGGTAGAACTAATTATTAGTTTAAGAGAAAGGAAACTAAAAAAAAAAAAAATTGATTATATGTTTTTTTTCCCGGTAAAAATATATATTGTTGTTGCCAAGTATATTATTATCAAATATTAGATCAGACAAATATTGACAAAAAAAAGGGGGTTAGATAAGCCTCCCATCTATATAGTAGTTTATGGTCACTAACACAAAGAAACCCAATAAAAAATAAAGAAAGAAACCACGAAACAAGTTGCCTCTTTTTTGGGGCAAGTTGTTTTGCACGATTAAATTTTTGGATAAAATAGGAATATTGAATAAAAAGGAACTCCTTTCACGTGAAAATATTATTTTTGCGTGTTTTAGGCAGGAAAAGTTTTAGGGGAAAATAGGCAAGTGCGAGAAACTAAAGTTTCTTGTATGTTTCTCTTTCATTCTATCCAAACTCCAAAAAAAAAAAATTAAAAATTTCTCTTTCCTTTTTTTTATAGTGCAATCACATTGTGGGACCAGGAATCTTCAGCATATTGGAAAACATGCTGTCATCTATGGTTATAAATGTAAAGTTTAGTTTAGTTTGTTGCCTGATCAAACATGTCTATGTAAACTTGCTGAAGGGAATGAGCACTGCAGAACTGATTGATCTCATGATGGATCTTGTCATAGATCCACGTGTTGTCATACTGTACACCATAGTCGCGCAGTGTTTCATACACATAGTCCTTATGAAGACGGTTAACTACCTGAAAGAAGCATTTAAATCCAAACATTTAAAATAAATTTTAAAAAACAAAAACAAAAAACTCATACAAGAATGATGATGCAGTTGTATTGTCAAATAGAGAACATTATCTCAAAGTTGTACCTCTATCTTCTCAAAATTGATCATAACACCCCCCTTTGTGCCACATGGAATATCCCTTACCTGCATATATCATGGAGCACAGATTACAGCAATTGTCCATGAGATCTATTATTCAACAATTATAATGACACTATATAATCCTTCGTCTTCAAAACTTGGAATAAGATAAATCTTACAAGATCAGTCTGAAGGGTCACTTGAATGGGCTCAAAATGGGTGATCATAGGCAATTTCAGATGAAAACCTAGAAAAAAAACAGGCAGTCTATAAGTTATATGCAAGCAAATATAGAATGAAATGTAAGCAAAAAAGATCACAATGACCAGACCTGGATCTGTAACTGTCTTTAGGAGGGCACCTCCTCTCCAATACACCCCAATGTGACCTTCTGGAACTTGGTGTAAAATGGATATGCTATTCTGAAGTATTGATGATGACGGAATCAATATCTGTAAAATTATAATAGCATTCCATAAATTCCTTGTCTCAACTTAAAAACTAAGGACATTTTTCTAGACTTCTTGTATAAGAATTTACACATCTAAATGACAGCCTAGCCACCATATAATATGGAAGTCATCAAGTTATCAACATATCAAAAAAGCACTATTGTAGTACTACTCCTAAACATGACACCATTGTCATACAAGAGAGAATTGACCTATAGATGAACCTCAAGTCAACAAAAATATTAGGAAATTTGCCAGGCTTCATAATACTCAGGTTCCTTTTCTTTAAAGTTAAAAAATAAATAACTTGATAATAGCCACAACATTAAATATCTTCAATAAACTCAACAAATAATCCTTATCATAAACCCATGGGTAATAAGTTAATTTGAAAATAAAAGTTTAAGTACATGCTACAACATAAGGACGGGTTGTGGATAACTTGGTTTGTAAGAAATATAATTCAAATTTCTGGAGCTTCGCAGAATCAGTCCATGGTCTGGAAATACATCTTGGAAGTTAGAGAGCTTATGTTGGAAAATATGGAATTCCAAATAGGACTTATGAGATGGAAATACATTATAGGCTGTTCCTGGACCCATGGTGTAATCAGGAAACTTTAATTATGCACATATGAATACCACCGGGCAATGTTTGGCAAAAGAACACTATCATAAACCTAAATTTCTTATCAATTCCAAGATGCACACTTCTGATTGGAAAATCATCCCTCTAATAAGTGTTGAAAAACTTGATGTAAGTAATATGTTGATGACAATATAGCTTTTCAACTATAATTTTCTTAAATTTACCAATTCATTTTACATAAACCCTAAACACTATGACAAGTAGAAAAAGAACTGTAAAATCTTAAATTTAAAACCAGAAAAGGCTAACAAATACAGAAAAAAATATGTATATGTGATTACAAAGCAACTAGACCTTAATGAACGAAACTCTGAAATGTGACCAATTGATAAATCAGTATATTGACCAAAGTGTAGATATACAAACCGATAAATAAATAAATAAATATATATATATATAGACATGTTATGATATGAGGGGGAGAGAGAGAGTCACCATAGAGCAGATGGCAATGAAGGCAAGAACACTATCATTAAGGCAATGTTTGGCAAAAGAACACTATCATAAACCTAAATTTCTTATCGATTCCAAGACGCACACTACTGATCGGAAAATCATCCCTCTAATAAGTGCTGAAAAACTTAATTTAAGTAAGAAATCGATGACGATATAGCTTTGCAACTACAATTTTCGTAAATCTGCTAATTCGTTTAACATACCCTAAACAACAGACCAGTAGAAAAAGAACTATAAAATCGTAAATATAAATGAGAAAAATCCAGACAAATACAGAAAAATTATGTACATGTGATTACAAAGCAAGTAGACCTTAATGAACGAAACTCTGAAATGTGACAAATCGATAAATCATATATTGACCAAAGTATAGATTTACAAAACGATATATATATATAGATATGTTATGATCGGATTGATAAGAGAGAGAAATAAAGTCACCATAGAGCAGATGGCAATGAAGGGTAAGAACACAGAGAAAATGGGGCCAAAACCTCCTCCTCCTGGTGGTGGCGGCGGTGGGGGTGGTGGTCGAGGCTGTGGTGGCTGTGGAGGCGGTCTCTGCTGCTGCTGCTGCTGCTGTGTGTCCATGGCGTACTCTTTCTCTCTCTAGAATGTTGATTGCGCGCAGAGACTTCTTTTCGCTTTGTTGAAGCAACGAATCGAGAATGTGAGGAGACCACTTTACCTGCTCTCTTTTATGCATTAGAGATGATGACCATCACTTATATATATAGTAGTGTAGTATATATGCTTATTTATTTTTTTGGATGCAGTCCCCATTGAATATTATCTTAAAGTCCGCTCGGGTAATATTGAATATTATGGGGTGGCTGTTGTAATAAAAATAAATAAAAAATACTTTTATCAATAGTGGTGTCAACAAATTGTGTTCAGTAAAAAAATATGTGGGGTATTTGGTGGCACATTATAATAAATATTTTGTAATAATTTTTTGGGTAATTTACACAGACCTACTCTATGGTTTGCCATAATTACAGACGGTACCCTTCCTGTTCCGAAAGTTACGCGGACCTCCCTTATTTTTTAAAATATCCTACACGGACTTCCCTTATCTGTGACGAACTGTTAAATACACTAACGGAGCTGTTGAAATTACTGAAACACCCTCTCCTTGACATCTGAAATTACGAAACTACCCCTCTCAGTTATTGGGTAGATCTTTCTTACAACCCTGCACTTGGCAAATGGGAGTATGAGAACTTAAACCTATTGCTCTCGCCCTCTTCCCCGGCATAGATGACTCGGATGCAGAGACCATGGCAGTTGTCTTCACAAAATCAAGAACATGAGCATCTTTATGATCAGCAAACCTCCCCAGCTTCAAATCAATAAGCGATGAATCACGACTGTTCGATTCCATAACCGAGCTCGGTAGCTTCAAATTGGACTCCTCCTCCCCGGAAAATGCATTTGGTGTAGACCCAATTGGATTAACCATTCTTCCACCACCACTACCACTCCAAACATCCCCAATTGAGTGATTGGGCAACGATTTTCTCCTCATTTTTGAGAAACCCATTTTCACAAATCCCTGATTCTCAATGCCCTCTTGACCTGAGACTACTATATTGCTTCCATAGCTACATGGGGTTTTCAATTCCCAATCCATAAACTGTTTTTTACCTCTCAAAATCGCATCAGTACCTGAAATAGCTTCATCATATACAAAACCCTTTCCCTCAGAAACATAACTCCAAGACTCCATTAGAACACACAAACCCACCAAACTAAAAGCCCAAAAATCTATCCCTGTTCTATATTTCTACCCAACGACCACTTTGAATTGTAATTCCCAAAGCCTTTAATGAACTTATTACTTATCAGGGTATGCATAACCATTAAAGATTTACTCCATTAACAGTGTACAAAATCAAAAAAAATCCACCATCATATCTACTCTTTAAGTCCCAATAAAATTGTGTAATCTTCAATTTAAGAAAACCCAGTAACCATATGGACGAACAATGAGAGAAATGTGTGGAAACATGTAAATATAACCAAAAAAACCTCTCAAGAAACAAGTAGACATGCTCATGGTCAATGGGTATCCATTGAACTGGAAGCAGAGAAGCAAATAGAGGTAAAAAGGCACTGCAGTAATGAGTAAACAAGAAATTCAGTCACTCAAATAAGAAAATTTAAAGCTGCAAAAAAAGATGAGAGAGAGAGGGACTCATTCAAAGAGATTTATTAGTATTGGCGTTCCCAACTCCATGGAAGGGCTTCTTGTTGTTGTTGTTTGAGAGAGAGAGAGAGAGAGAGTAAGGGAGGAGAGAGAGAGTCCACCTGTTATATGTATATTTTTTAAATATATTATTAATTTAATTATATAGATAAGGGTATTTTAGGGATTTAAATAAAAATAGTGGCTAACGTCATCAATTTCTGTCATTGACTGGCGTTGACCGTAATGGAAGGGAGGTCCGTGTAGGATATTTTAAAAAATAAGGGAGATCTGCGTAATTTCCGGAACAGGAAGGGTGCCGCCTGTAATTATGGCAAACCATGTGGGAGGTTTGTGTAAATTACCCTAATTTTTTTAAAAATACTTATATTGCTAATTTTATAGCTTTTTTTTTAAACACTTCTATTGCTAATTTTACAATAATTATCTTTTAATATGATGTTATCATATTTGATAATAACAACTTAATCTCCATCTAGTTTGTCTATGCATAATAATTTTCCTACATGACAATTAGTGATACGCTATAAAATTTGTAACAGATGGGCGCTTGCCCATTTACCCAAAAGATCAAATTATTGGGTAGTACTGTAAACCCACCAATTTATACTGAATCACTTTCCCATCCAATTCCGATGTAGGACAAATGACTAGAGATGGCAAATTTTTCATCCCCGCCGGGGCCCCGCCCCGTTTATAGCGTGGATGAGGATCCTTTTATCTAAACGGGGATGGGAATGGGGGCAAATTATGAATCCCCACCGGGGCCGGATGCGGGGATGGGGTAAACCCGCGCCCGATTAAGTATGAAGTTACTAATATACCATTATATATAATAATTTATTACTAAATTAGATTTATTATATATATGAAAATAATAAAAAAAAATGTGTTTTTTTTAATTAAAAAAAAAAATTTGAGGGCCAAGGGGGGGGATGGGGATAAGGAGTCAGGAGGCGGGGGCGGGGGCGGGTGTGAGTATGGGGATGGTGGCAAAATTTTAGGCGGGGATAGGGGCGGAGATGAGGATTGAAAAATCATTGGGGATGGGGATGGAGAATGGAATCCCCAGCCCGTTGCCATCCTTACAAATGACCTTTGCTACATTCTCCCCCACCTAAAATCCCAACGCTTTCGTTGCAGCTCGGCCACTTTGCCTACCCGATGTGCTCATCCGGACGCCTTCCGAGCAAGGCACTTGGCGTGACACCGGATCAAGAATTGGGTCTGGCTCTGATACCAACTGTAACGGGTGGGTGCTTGCCCATTTACCCAAAAGCTCGAATTATTGGGTAGTGCTGCATACCCACACATTTATACCCAATTACTTTCTCATCCGATTCCGATGTAGGACAAATGACCCTTGTTACACAATCCCCGACTCAGTTACCTAGCAATAATTTATTTGGGAACAAGTGAATAAAATATCCCTAAAGTATATTTTGCATAGCACTTTTATTCCTATTTGAAAAAGTGTGAAAAAATACTCATAATCTTTTCACATTGTGCAAAAATACTCCATCTGACATAAATTAGTGTTGTAATACTCGTTTTACCCTTTTATTCTTCTGAAAATACCCAAGGGGATATATATGCTACTAATATCATAGAGTAGGGGTGTTATGTGCACCTTGTCTTATATATATATATATATTGAAACTTTTTTTTCTATATATATATCTAAATAATTTTTTTTTTTTTTTTTTTTTTGTAACTTTGAGAATTTCTAGAACAAGGATTTGATTTTTTTTGATATTCCAGTTTACTCTTTTCTATTAATTTATTTTTCTTTATTGTTATTATTTTTTTGGACCAACATGGTTAAACAAAAAAGAAAAAAGGAAAAATTCATAATATTAGTCTGCATTGATTTTCGGAGTTTGGAATTGATTTATTTTCTTTAGTTTGTACTTTATTTTCGTTTTTTATTTTTTATTTTAACTTTTCTTTTATACTTTTATTTATATTTTATATTTTTATCTTTACTTGTTCATTGTCGGCGTCCTTCAATAGTGTCATTTTCGGTCATTTTATAAATTTATTTATTTTTATATATTTTATAAAATGGTTTAGTAAGGGCAATTTAATCAACTTAGGGTTTAAATTTGTCAGAGGGACCTATTTGCATCAAATTGAAACTTTAAGAGTGTTTTTTTACACGTGAGGGACATCCTCCAATAGTGTATTTTTCAATCATTTTATAAAATTATTTATTTTTATATTTTTTTATAAAATGGTTCAGTAAGGATAATTTAGTCAACTTAGGCTTTAAATTTATCAGATGACCTATTTTGCACCAAATTAAAATTTTAGAGATATTCTTTTACACGTGAGGAATATGATATGCACTGTAGACATATTTCAAAGTTTTAAAACCCAATTTTCTTTCATATCCGTTTGACTGAGTCATCAACTTAATCTAACGAATGAAAATGCAAGGTGAGAGTGATGCTCACGTTTGTTCATAATAATAAAGTTTAATTGCACAACTTTTCTATAATACTCCTAATTTCTAATTATATTTTTGACCGACCTTAACTATATAAATATATAATAATTAAAAAAAATTCACTTATTTGGTCGTTAGTTTTCAAATTTTTATTAAATAATAAGATAAAATGATGTTATTGACTTTTTAAGAGAAATATGTTATTAAAGGTAATAAATTTATTTCACCTCCTAATCGGACGAAATTTTATTGAACTTGTTGCACTGTGCAAATGGTGCATTCAACCATTCATTAGTAATACACGCGTGTATACAACGGGCGCAATAAATTTTTTCCCCCATCCAACACAATACTAACAACAATGAGTAAAGTGCAATTTATTTGATACATAGTGAGTTAGTTGCCAAAAACATAATTCAAGGAGTTATAAAAATGCTCTCGAAGGACATAAATAGCGACTTGAACAATATGTTAAGACAGAATTGTAAATGTTTGAGGAATTGTGACAACCATTTGTTCGATTTTTTTTAACAAATAACAAACATACTCAGTATTATTAAATACAAACCTAACTTTTAGTAGTATTTTTTAATTCTAAAACCTTCATATAATTATTTGTCACAATGAGGATCAGTGTAAGCTCAAAATGAGATATTTTAATACCGTTATTACAACGAAAAAGACCCAAAGACTGACCAAATGAGTCAAAAGTCTTCTTTGGGCAAGTCGACCATGAAATTTATGGAGAAATTGTGAGAAGCTTGACATTATTTTCCTTATAGAATGACGCAGAAACGTTGTTGCTAGGAAGCCTACTTTTAGCCTTTTCTTTTGTGAAATTGCACCTTAAAGACGTATTGTTTAAATTTCGTACGTGAAATGAGCACCTTAAAGAATTATAAAAAAGTAAAAGTCTTAACTAAAAAGTATTTGTATAATTTGATTGTGTGTGTATATATATATATATATGAGTATATACATTGTACACGCACATATAATATTTTTAGACTTAAATAACGAAATAAAAGTGACCAATATTAAGCGAACTACAATATGACAAGAGTTTTTTATTTTTATTATTATTATTATTATTATTATTATTTGTATCATTTGCTTGTTCTTAGTTCTATATACTTCTAATCATTTTTATATAATATTAGATACATTTTGATAATTACTTCCAATAATAAATGTGTCAACAATTCAATGAATGAGAAAACACTTTGAGGATTGATAACACGATCCGGAGCATGATAACATCACTTCTTTAAAAGAATGGTATGATTTAGGTTCTGAATAATAATAAACTGTTATAATTTTTTTTTTTTTATATATAAAATTAAATAAAATTAACAAATTTAATTGTGTGACCTTATTATTAACGTGGACCATGTAATAAACTTCTACATCAACTTCTATAAACTTTCGCCAGAAAGGTTTAGCATAGAATGATGCCATAGAAAGGTTTTTGAGTCTTCCCCTTTCGAAAGTCTTGTTGATCCTCCACGGGAGAAAAATTGGATAAAGCAATTTCTTCCCTCTCAACAACCAAGTTCTATGTTATATCTCTACATTCATGTATGGTTGATATGGTTAAAATAAATAAATAAAAATAAATGTATTGTTGATAAGATTTACAGATGTGGAACTAATTTTTTACTATAAGTTACACCAAGTCAACATAGTATACGTTTGGTTCAATTCTTGAAAATAGTTTTTAAGAATATACAAAATAGTAAGTATTTTGGGAGTTTGATTTTTTCTTTCTTTCTCACAGTACTGATAATTAAGTAAAAAACAAGTATGATTTTAAAGAACTTGTATTTTGCATTTTCCTTGAAAACTATTTTATGTTTCCATTTTTCAAAAACTTTCCATTTAATTGAACAAACAAATCCACTTTTCATCAAACTAGGTCCTTTAGGCCAATTTTCATTTAACAGTCTTCAATCAAAACCAAAATTCTTTCTTGTACACTTTTTTTTAAAAACTATCTGAATATTTTGCAGTGCAACTTCACTAAATTTATTTTGAAATTTCACAATTTAAAATAGTGAATTTCGGCACCTTAATTGGTGAAAGTGGTGAAAAAAGTGGTGAAGTTTCATAAATTCAGAGTGCAAAATGTTGTTATTTTGATAAGAAAAAATTATCTGAATATTTTGCAGTGCAACTTCACTAAATTTATTTTGAAATTTCACAATTTAAAATAGTGAATTTCGGCACCTTAATTGGTGAAAGTGGTGAAGTTTCATAAATTCAGAGTGCAAAATATTGATGACAAGTGGGCATTGGGATGCTTTTGCGTGTGGTGTGAATTTGTTACAAGTGACACTTGTCTCGCACCGCATTTGAATAATTAGGGGTTGAAGTATGTATAAATGGTGGATATATAATACTATCTAATAACTTGAACTTTTGAGTAAATGGGCAAGCGTCAACCCGTTACTCTGATATCAGAGTCAGACCCCAATCCTTAATCCGGTGTCAAGCTAAGCGCCCGACTCGAAGGGCGTCTGGATTTGCAGCCTGAACCGCAACCTAAGTGTTGCGAGTTTGGGAGTTTTAACTTTTGGATAAATGAACAAACGCCCACCTGTTACAATATTTATGCTGTAATTTAGCATTTTTCTTTCTAAACACTATACTGTTTGATAAATCCAATCAACATTTGTTTTTGAAATAATTTAATAATTATTCAATTAAGTGTTTGATAACAATTTAAGCTATCACTCAAAATAATATATTTCACTTGAAATTATACATACACACATATATAAAAAGATCATTAATTTATTATTAACAAATTTTTGAAATAATTTAATAATTATTCAATTAAGTGTTTGATAACAATTTAAGCTATCACTCAAAATAATATATTTCACTTGAAATTATACATACACACATATATAAAAAGATCATTAATTTATTATTAACAAATTTTAAATAGTTCTTAATTATTGGTTTTTCTTGTGGTGTTTTTGTTTGTCTATGCACCATGGTAATATGTAACAACATATTAAACTTATTAATTTTCTTTAATCCATTTGTTATTTATGTCATGTTAATATTTTCATTTGTGAAAAGGTTAAAATTATATCATTTTTTATTATAGCAACTCAAATTCTTATTAAGTCCATAAGCTTGAATTCAATAAAAAAAAATTTAATTTGAGTTGTAAGTCCAAATTCGACCCGAACTTAAAATATTAACAATGGATTGGGCTCAGATTCATTAACTCGAATTGACAAATAAATAAAATTAAATCAGGATTGAGAATTTCATAAATCGATTGAGTCCGACCCGACCCTCCAACCCGCCCAAAAAAACGAGCTTAAACTTTTTACCAGTTGAGCTTAACCACGTTTCTTTATTGTCGCTTCTTATCCGATACAACCCAAAACGCAGTTGGGTGCCTCAAAAGCCACGTAAACACACAGTCCGCTGAGCCACCCACAGAACCAAACTGTATGCTAGCGCCCTCCGCCGGTGAGAAAATGATGCTCACCGCCCTATCATCCGGCGCCACACTGTTTGGTTCGGGACCCATCCAGCAATGCCAGTCTCTTAGGCGTTTCAGAGTATCGGCAGATGGGTTTCCGTCGTTTCTTCCCAAAGAAGTAGAGAGAATCAATGATCCATTTGCTCGAAAGTTGGCCGCAAGGATTCAGAGACTGCCTGTACAGGTAAATTCTCAGCTGTCTCCAAATTTTGTCGTCTAATTGGGTTTTGAATTCCTTGTTTGGTTGCTCAGAAAATGGAGAGAAAATGTAATTTAAACGATTATGTTTTCCCGGCCATTGGGTTTGATTCAATTTCTTGATATTGTATTTGTTGTTTATAGAAGAAGTTCATTTTATCCTTGTAAGTTGTGCCATAAGGAACAACCATGACCTGTATGATGTTTTATCTATATCAACATGCAATATGAACTGAAAGTAGGACCAGTTGTATATAATTAATACTTGTTTGTAGACATAAGCATGTAAAAAACTTTCAATGTTACCAGGAGAAAGAATTTTTTGGAATTGAGCGAGGGAATTTTTGAAATTTAAGTAAAACTTTAGGTAATAATATAAATTGGAAAAAATTCAGTGGAGAAATCAGTGAGGTAAAAATGTGAAGGGAACATTTAAAAAAATTGAGTGGGGGCATTTTTGAATTTTAACTAAAACTATAGGTAATAATGTAAATTATAAAAAATCTAGTGGGGGCATCCGCCCCTACTAGGCCTGAACTGGGTCCGTGCGTGAGCACACGAACATTAGGGCTTGGTTGGCAACTGGAAACATTTTGAGTTTCTGTTTTCTTTTGAAACAAAAACAATGTTTTTTTTTTTTTTGTTGTGGAGTGTCTTCAATAGTGATTGGAAGCATATTTGGTAACTTAGAATTTGTTGCAAGATTTTTGGAATAGAAAATATGGAAACATGTTTGGTAAAAAAGTGTTGCAAGTTTGAAAAATAAAATGGCTAGTTAAAAAGGTCATTTAATAGTTTTTTTTTGGGGGCACTGTTCATCGCTAAGTATTGTTGCTTCGTGCCTCTTTTTTGGAAACAAACACAATACTATTGAAATCGCAACAAAAGTTACCAGTTACCAAACACGATTCCATATTTTGCTTAGCTTCAGTACACCATCCGCAACAAAAAAACATGAAGCAAAAGTGGTTGCCAAACGAGGGTATATACTGTAAGATGCTGCAAGGTTTGTCACCTTGCTCAATAAATGGAGAAGGAAGTTGAGAAAGAACTCTACACTAGAATATTACTAAGTGTGAAACCTTACTCTTTTTTTTTTTTTTCCTTGTAGGATTTTAGGCACTCATTAGTTTATGTTACTTCAGCTCATTATGTTTCCACATTATTTAGACGCAATAAGTCTCTTCATATTAGTAGATTGTCCCAAAATTCAATAAGGGAAGCTGCACCTGAATTTCTGCATTGATATCCCCAAACAATCAAAAGAATAGCATATATATATTTTTTTTGGGGTCTTAATTTGCTTATTTTTTGTTTCAAGATCACTGCCCTTTTCTTTCTTATCTAAGGAGAAAAGGGCATGGAATATGGGACATGAAACTAAAAGGTCTATAATATGAACTCCTATAGACTTATCAAAAAAAGAAAAAAGAAAAAAAAAAGAACTCCTATAGAAGTCATTTTGAGTTTCTGAATGAGCTTTATTGGCATTATGTTGCAGACCATTAACCGCAACTTTATTTTCGGTTGGGTAGATGATAATTGATCAAACATTTCTATATGGTCTCAAGTTCAGATTCTACCATATCTGTCGAAGATCCGTGCCTTCTAATTTAGAATACAACTTTAGAAGTTCTATAAAAAGCAATATTAATGTTACCACACTGGCATACGAAAATAAAACTCAAGAAAGAGTTTTATTACATCCTATAGTCTCATGTGTATCAACATTCTTTATTTGTTATTTTGTGATTTTGTTAAAAAAAAGCCTCTTTGTTCAAGTACTGCAGTCACAGTTAAACATGCATGGACCAGTTTATGATGATGTCGACTCGAAATCATCAAACACATTTTTGGCTAAATTTCTCACAGCATGTGTAAGATTGTTGCGAGGGAGCAACTCCCTTGAATTGCACAGACATGTCAGTTTTGTCAAAATCAACAACTTAACATCACTTCAGCTGACTCTGTAGAGTTCTGCAGTTTGAACTTTGAAGTTTGAGTGAGCAACTCACAACTATATAAGACGTCTCATTTTATAAGTTTGGCAGTGTGATTCCTTGCTTATAAAACTGTACAACTGACTCAAGGCTTCTGGGTGGCATCACAGGTTAGTTTTTCAGAGAGTTCAATCATGAGCAGTTGTGTGAAACCACTACTGCAGACGAATACAAATCCAGTGGTTCTCCTGCATGGTTTTGACAGGTCTGTTTTAGGTGAAATATACATACTATGTTGTGAGAACTTTTGGTCCTTTTCTGCATTTCTACAGTTCATTACTCCTTATTCTTCAGCTCCTGTTTAGAATGGAGATACACACTCCCACTGCTTGAGGAGGCTGGTTTGGAGACCTGGGCTGTGGACGTTCTTGGATGGGGTTTCTCTGATTTAGGTATGACCTAATCCATCTTATATCCCCAATATTGAATGTAGGGTGAATAGTCTCTTTCCTAGTTTGTTCTTTTATCATATTGTGTGTTTCTTTTTTTTTGCGTGTACAGAAAGGCTTCCTTCGTGTAATGTGGCTTCCAAGCGCAATCACCTTTATCAGGTATTTATGTTTTTGTTCCTTCAGGGATATCTTTTATTCTTGGCTTACGGGTATGAAAGGAATATGTAACCTAAGTTCAATGGATTTCTAGAAGCTTGCTATAGTTCAAGAAATACAACAGAAACTAGAAGGTGATACCTCCCTCGGTGGCTTTTTTACCCATTGTGTCTATTTGAGGGGTTACCTTCTGATATATCTCTCTTTACAATTTCTTTTTTCCCTTTCTTTTTTTTTTTTTTCTGATTTTCTCATCATTGAGTGTATCTCTCTTTACATTTATTAACCAAATAATCAGAATTGAGTTTGTGTTGTTTCTATGCCAGACAGAGAGAGTAGCTCTTCTAGTACTGATGATAATACTTTCGTCTCACCCACCAATCAGAGACAGTAAACTGATTTGTTTCATGTTTACCGCAGTTTTGGAAGTCCTACATTAAAAGACCAATGATATTAGTTGGACCAAGCCTTGGTGCAGCTGTTGCAATCGACTTTGTGGTCCACCATTCGGAAGCTGTAAGTATTTCCCAGATGCAACTTAAATCCATTTGGATAGGTGTTACTGGCTACGCCTGGATATAATTTTTTTAATTAGCACCGGTAATATTCTATGGCTTACCTTACCTTAAGTGTTTTCTGGCTCTTATTTCTAGGTTGATAAATTGGTTTTGATTGATGCAAGTGTCTATACAGAAGGCACAGGAAACTCATCGAGGTTACCCCAAGCTGTAGCCTATGCTGGGGTGAGTTTCTGTTAATGATTCTTTCTATGCAGTTATTATATTACAAGATTGATGATAGGTTTTGATTTTTTCTGGGTTATTCTATTTCTTTAACGCATATCTTTATATAGGAGTCCAAGCTTTATCGATATTTTTTTTTTCCTAAAATATATAAGTGGTTTGCTTGACTATCTCTTACTTAGTAGCCCAAACACATATCTAATATTTAAGTTTATTCCGAGTACATTTCCAGTCTTAAACACTTCAAGAATTAGAGGAGCACAAGTCACTGCATTTTCTATGGAACATGTGTGGGTCTTTTGGCAAAATGGAATGGCCTTAACTTTTATTATTTATCTTGAAGGCTTCTTTTCCATGAGACAGTGAAGTTTGAACTTGAGACCCTTTTGCTCTAATGTCATGTTAAAAAAATATGAAATTGAAGAGAGAAATTAAGTATAAACAACACAAGAATTAACGTGGTTTGGAGTAACTGGCCGGGTGCTTCGCGGTCCGACCCAAAAACTGAAGCTATTAGGTGGTGCTAACACCCAACCCATGTGTACCCAATCACTTCCCCATCCGGATTCGATGTGGGACAAGTCCCCCTTGTAACATTCTCTGCCAACCAAATTCGCAACGCCCTTGTTATGGTCGGGCCATCCTGCCTATCCAGGATGAAGACTCGGATGCCTTTGGGCTGGGCGCTTTTCGTGATACCGGATCAAGGATTGGGTCTAGCTCTAATACCAAATGTAACGGGTCAGGTGATTCACAGTCCGACCCAAAAACTTAAGTTATTAGGTGGTGCTACCACCCAATCCATACATACCCAATCACTTTCCCATCCGGATCCGATGGGGGACAAGTCCCCCTTGTAACATTTGGCCACTACAACCTACTCCTGTGGCACACAAAGCCCAGAGGGCTACATCTCTTTCCTTATATTCTCTTGATATTGTTTTTTTACAATGAACACCTCTATTTATAGGCGCATGAATACAAACATGTGATAAAATACGAAAAAATATAATGATGAGGATTCTTAAAATCTATCCTATGAATGACTCCTATCAATATTCCATTAAAGGCTTGAATGGTTCTCTAACAAAAGAAAAATTGAGTGTCACTGCATCAAGTGACACTCAAACCTACCATTTGTAGTTTATCTACCTTTGTTTATGTCTATTATTAAGTTTAGTCTATATTACTTGGACTACTAACTTTTGCAGCAATATAGTGGCAATAATATGTCATTTGTTACGCTGAAAATAATATTTTACCTCCACTTTCCCCCTTCCAAGAAAAAGAAATCTATACAAATTTAATTATAATGCCAACAAAAATCGTATATATTTGCTTACCAAGGGAAGAATATTAAGATGGTTCTGACTTTTTCAACTATCTAGTTGGGTGCCTAAATTTTTTTTTTATCTGGCAAGAGATTTATTATTTGAGTCTCCACGCCTAGGCGGTTTTTTTGCTGCAGTCTGCAATTATTCTTCTGCTCTGAGAAGTTTGCACAATTATTTCTTTAGTCCATGCCCTTATCATTGTTGGACATCTTATATGCTACATATCGATTCAGAAACTGTGGGTATTCTTATGGATAGGTCTATTTATTGAAGAGCATCCCACTGCGCTTGTATGCAACATATCTGGCCTTCAACGGTTTGACGTTCAGTACATCCTTAGACTGGACTAATGTAAGTGTCAGACTGTCGTAGTCACTATCTATATATCTTGTGCAATGTTTTGACATTTTACAATTGATATTTCTTAAATATATCTATTGTTTCAAGGGAAGGTTGGATCTAATGCTGATTTTCTTCTATGTTGCCATCATAGGTCGGTCGCTTACATTGTCTGTTGCCTTGGTGGGAAAATGCAACCATTAATTTTATGAATAGTGGGGGCTATGATGTCAGTTCCCAGATAGAACAGGTATGTGAGAACCAGTTTTTCCATTCCAGCAGACAAATATGGTAATGTGTCTGAACAATTCTCTTGCAAAGAAGGAAACATACAAACTATAGAAGTGCTTAAGAGTCTGTTTGAACTATTGTTAAAACAAGACCGCATTTGCTGGTATAGCAATTTTTGTGGAATAATGAGTAGTACAGCTCTGAGTGCTGTAATTAATGATGTATGGCAGACATAACAGAATATATATGAAAGGAAGCATTGAAATTGAAGTATCTGATTAAATCCCTTTTGTTTTGTTTCCTAGGTCCAATTAGCACCTTACATTTAAACGAGAAAATTGCCCAAAACACACGCATGAACATTTCTCTGTGGTCTGCATGTTTTTTTGGCCATTTTGGATGTTGTTTGTCTTGAAGCCCAACTTTTTACTGAAGGCTGGGTAGGGAGTGAAAAAAGGATGCTGAAATATTTCAGAACTAATCTTTATATGATTCTGTAAATAGGTATGCCAAACTAGTCTTGGTGTAATCCTATTGAATTCTCTACAAAAGTAGGATTACACCAAAAACCAGTGCTAAGTGCATACCTATTTACGATAATGTTAGATGAAATAATGAAAAAATATATCCAATTAAACATTCCATGGTGTATGTCGTTTTCTGCTGATCTCGTAGTTCTATTAGATACTTTAAAAAAGTCGTAGCAAATTTAGAGACATTGAGAAAGACTCTAGAAGCAAAAGGCCTAAAAAATTAGTTAAATTATATAGAATATATGGAATGTAAATTTGATAAAGTAGCATAAGACAATATAAATATTACAATTCATGATCAAACAGTCGCTCAAAATAACTATTTTTGTTTGTTTAGGGTCAATATTATAAAAAGATGGGGAGATACATGGTGATGTAGTAAGTAGGATTGGTGTTGAGTGGACAAAATGGAGGCAAGTTAGTTCTATCCTATGTGACAAATGAATATCAAATATATTAAGGGGATATTCTATAGGATGGTCATTTGGTCAGCTATGTTGTATGGAGTAGAGTGTTGGGCGTTGAAAAAGAAACAAAAATAATGCTTTCATGCAACGGCAATGAGGATGTTACATGGATGTTAGGAGTGACTAGAATAGATAAGATTAATAATGAATGTTTGGGGAAAAGCTAGGATTAACGTCCATTAATGATAATATTAGAAAAATTGAACTTAGATATTATAGTCATATACAACGTAGACCTGAAGATGCTCCCGGTTAGAAGAGGAAGAGCTGTTTACCTAGAACGTAAGAGGAAAACAGGCAAACTTAAATGAGATGAGGTAATTAAAATATATTTGTACAAATTACATATAAGAGGAATTTTATAATTGGGTAGAATGGAAAAAGGGAATTCATGTGGCTGACTCCATCTATATTCTATATGGAATAAAGGCAAGGAGGATGATAATGAATCTTTATATGATTCTAAGTATGCATGTTGTTCAGGGTACTTGTTTAGTCTCACAGGCCATCTGCTGCTATTTTGAATTTGATATTACAAAACGTAAACATCTTCCAAATTTTAATAACACTTTACACCTTCTATTTTACGTTCTTCCCTACCACCTAACCTATTTGTAAAAGTGAAAATATTACCTTTCTCCTGTTCGTGCTCCTGTAAATATTCGAAGTGGTATTTTAGGCAAGAGGAGCATGTTGTTTAAGTTTACAAGAAGATAGAAATATGTCCTACCAAAGCTGCATGGGGGTGCACATTACTTGGGTTTTCTACATGGAGTGTTCCTTCTAATAGACCTGCAACTGAACCTAATTGGATGAATCATAAAATGGCTGCTCAAAGATTTCCAACCAATTGTCTGCATTCTATACTCTAGTTTTTCATGCCTCTATGGCGTGCATACATCTCGGCATTATAACAATTATTATGCTTATGACCATTATTTATTTTTCAAATTCCTTATGACATTGAGTATTGTTTTATGTAGGTAAAGCAGAAGACACTTATAATATGGGGTGAGGAGGATCAAATTATCAGCAACAAACTTGCAGTGGTTTGTATATTCTTTGCTTTTTACAGGCTTAAGTAAAAAAACCCAACAAAAAAGGAAGTTGCTTTTATTGCTTTATGTATTGAAAATCATGCTCGAGAAATAAAAGTTTCCCGGCATCTGAGGAGAAACTTGCTTCTGCATAATTCTGTTCCATTCAATGAATCGATTTAGTCTTGTGTTAATATAATCTTATGTAGCTCTTGCTTAATGCAGAGATTGCACTGTGAACTGCCAAACGCAATTATACGCCAAATACCAGGTTGTGGTCATATCCCTCATGTGGAAAAACCAACTGCTGTTGCTAAGTTCATTCTGGAATTTGTTCAAGACGATTGCTAAATAGAAGCTCATTGTGTTTCCCGATGTTAAAGGTCTACTCTTCTCTCTTTTTTGATTACAATTACCTTTCACTGTATTTCCCCTGTTTGCTTTTCCTCCTTTGATGTTAATCATGTGACTTGTGAGCTTAAATTGTTGGGTGCACTCTTAGTTTAATGACGACCTTTTTCTTTTTCTATTTTTCCTTTCCAAATTCGAGCCAGCCAGATCTTTATATAAGATATGGAGCAATGTCGGTGCTTTTTAATTATGCAGTTGAAAAAGTTTGATTCACCATTCAAATTATAAAGATGGACCGTGGATGAAACCATTTGAATTCTTTTGCTGTGAAAAACAAAGTCAACTTATTCAACTGTGCTGTATGAAGCTGAACTAAATGTTAATCTGAGAAGATATTGTATTAATTTTACATAATTTTAGTAATTAGCACATACCATAAAGAATTCAGAGTAATATACATATCTAAATTCAATATGAAAAAATATAAAAAAAAAGACTAGCCCAGTGCACGAGGCTCTCGCAATTGCTGGGTTGAGGAGGGCTAGATGAATTTGACTTAAATAAGTAGGGTAGTACTAGGGTAGCATTAATTGATTCCCTATTTGTTTGCATAAACATATGATACTTTTTGTTTTTGGGAACCAGGATTTGCTTTGATTTAATGTGCAAGTATCAAGATTGCGTTCTTCAACCTTTGGTTTTTACCTTTTGCTGTAATTTTTTTATTAAGCACTTCATAAAATTATTAATTATGTGAAATTTCTCACAATGGGAGGTGTCTTGAAATGATTGATTATTTATTCCAATGATTGATTATGTTGATGATAAAATGTATTATGCCACCTGTCCTATGCTTTTTATCTTCAACCATCATTCTCATGAAGACCACAACTCATAGTAGTTGAGTTCTTTTTGTTCCCAATGGAAATTCTCTGTAGAGAGAGAAAATAAAAAAATAAAAAATCTGAAGAGAAATTTATAAACTTGACTCTCAGAAACAATATAGTATATGATATAAAATTCTGAAGAGAAATTTACAAAATTAACTGATGTCATACAATATTTTCTTCAATATTCTTGACAAAAACATCACTCTCAGGAACATCGTTTTTTCTGACAAAAACTGCTATTGGAACCATTTTCTGTTGAAGGCAAGCATCAAGAGGTCAAAACGGTTGGTAGCACACTTTTATTTTGTTTTTCCTTTCTTTCCCATTTGGTGTCATAATGAATTTTGTTCATGTGAAAGCTGTCATGTTCTTGATAAGATTTTTTGATCTCAGCAGCGAATGCTGACTCTTAACAAACATAGGTCTCTCTCTCTCTCTCTCTCTCACACACACACACACACACACACACACAAACTATTGTATGTTTGTTTTAAAACCAGATGCTTAGGCTATGGAATGAATTTGCCCTCTCCGAACTAATAAACTTTCCAACCCCAATGAGGGTGGAATTTTATCCTTTTAATGCAATTATCAAGAAACATTACCAGGTTATTCAGTTGAATCTGTTATTAAACTAGCTGTAACTATCTGATACAATCTCCTCCTCTAAAATGCACAATGCTTACATGGATCGACGAAGACCTTGTAGGAGGCATCATTCATGGCAATCGTCACTATTTTATCCCAAGGGCCAGATATGGCTTGGGAGCTCGGGGATGAGCAGAAAGGCCACCGGAGACATCACCGGAAACATCAACTTTGACTGGATTTTCATGTGTTTCAAGAGGGCATTTTAGGTACCATATGAAGTCAACATGAAATGAAACTTGTTACATTTACATTGTACAACATTTCCCACATTGACTACAACATAGTCCCACATGAATAATAAGTCACTTTCATGTGCTATTAAGGGTTTATACCTTTGTTGTCACACTTAGTACACTTCATTGATGGCCACCAAATTAGTTAAATCCCTAGAGCCAACTACTGATCCAAACAGACCTTCAAAATGGTCAAACTGGGACCATTTTATATTCACCAAAGTTTCTAACATTGTGGGCAGAAAAGGGTGATTGATTTGTGTTCACCAATTCTTAATCCTCAAAGAGTTTGAAACCTTGTAGAAGCTAAAATGTCAACTCATGCTTGCTTTTTAATGATTCAGAAGAAAAATAGAGAGAGCAATTTATAAGGTTCACATATCAATAGAATGATAATGAAGAGCAACAAGCAAACTTCCAAAGATTATTATACATCTAGGAGATACAATCATAAAATGTGTTTTAACTATGGCAAGTAACTCATACATCCACTTTTATACATCCACTTTTGTACCTAACGGAACTCGAACCCTCGGCCAGGTAGAGGAGATATTACTAGGTTACAACCTTGGACAATCAAGAAACCTAGTTTCTCACCGTATTATTAGTTGTAAAATGAAAACTAGCTAGGCCCCTGTATTATTTGGAACTCTCTCTCTCTCTCTCTCACACACACACACACACAAAAGAATTTGAGAGAAACCACCAAGTCATAGAAGGGGGGTAGCAAATTTTCAATAAAACAAAAAAATATTCTCTCCCACTAATATGTAGATATACAATAGGATAAATCTAAAAGAAGTAAATAGATTCTACCCCAGTAGTAGCTATTATATGTCACCATCTAAAAGGAATCAAATTCCCAGCCTTTAAGAAAAACAATAAACCCTAGTTGGACTTCTGTCCAGATGATTCCCTGCTAACCCCACTGTAGTGGGCAGAAAATCATCCACAATCCAACCCCCATCCATTATCTTCAGAGTATCTTCAAGCCCTCAAAAACACGAGGCCTGACAACAAAAGGGTTAGAGCCAAAGAGCAAAACAAGTTGTTAGTCTTCTGATGGATGGTCACGCTGCCACTGTCTGTGCTGGTGATGCCGGTTCCGGAAGGAGCCAGGCCGAAAGTCGGAGTGGTGCCTGGAGTTGTAGTCGAGGGTGTGGTTGTGGATGGAGTCGTGGTTGAAGGTGGTGTCGGGGTGGTAGTTGTCGGTGGCGTTGTTGTCGGGGTGGTAGTTGTCGGTGGTGGTGTTGTTGGGGTGGTGGTTGATGGCGGTGTGGTGGTTGACGGTGGTGTTGTTGATGGGGTGGTGGGTGTTGGGGTTGTACCGCTGAAGAAATGAGAATAACAAGAACAGTGTCAGCCTCAAGCCATAATTAAATACAAAATAGTATCAAAACAGAACCACCATATTATTATGAAGCAAATGGATCTAACTATCTACAATATGGACAATATTGTGGGTGCGTGTGCGTTTGTTTGAACTCTCCAGAAAAAAAGACGGAACTAACGTAATAAAAATACAATAACATGGAGAAAAAAACAGATGTCAAACAGAATATCTCAAATTGGGTGTGGAGAAAAAGGCCAAACCGACAAATAAGATTTTAACATAACGATAGCTCTCCTCATAGCTGTAATATACGAAAAAATAGGGCCTTGTAAGAAAATATATATATGTAAGAGGATATTAAAAATGAGTGTTAGATCTGCTTTTCCTATTTGCTGCCAGAAAATTCTTAAACCCAACTTGAAAAGTCAACCAAATTGGTGCTTTTTTTTTTTTATCATGAAAAACCAAATTCATAATTTCATATCTATCAGTAAGATGTCAGTAGTTGCAATTTGTAAGTAAAGTTCTTACCTACCTAAAATCCTTACCCTAAACCCAAGCAGCAGACATTGGTGATTTAATAATGACAGTGTGTAGGTGTGGTGGCATTGCTTAAGTGAAAAAGGTGTAGGTCTTAGGTGTCCCGTCCTATGCTGCTAGGTTCGAATCCCCTTCACGTAACTCTTTAATCCATTGCTAGGTCAAAAAAAGAGAAGAAAAATGAAATTACCAAACTACCCTTTTCACTTTCCCTTTCATCACCCTCATCATAAAAATTCAGGTAAAAGGGAGATACCCTTCTCCACCAAAGGAAAATTTTGGTACAAAATTATCATTAATCATGGAAAAAAGTTTGCCCTATGTCATAGCCAAAAAAAAAAAAAAAAAATCTAACTTGAAAAAGAAGGAAGAAACATAATTTAGATCCAGTGAAGATATGAAGAGATGAGAAGATAAAAACAAACCTGGAACTTGCAGGATAAACACATGTAGTTGTTTGGGCTGCAAATCAAAAAAAGAAAAAGAAAAAAAAAAGATTTAGTATTTCCAATATTAAAGATGGAAAATTTATGGGGTTTGTTATTGATGGTTTATTAGGGGTGGTGGGACTTACAAGTTGGGGCAGATTGAGAAATGGTGGCAGTGCCTGAAAAATCACAGCTTCCGGTTGCCTGACCTTTCTTTTGGAAATAGCTGTTAACAGCATAGTTACAGTGATCTTTTACTGTGTTAGGGTTGTAACAAGCACCATTTAGTTGGATTGGAGTACAATCAGCTCCTGCTCCACAAGCATAGTCTATGCTCTTCTGAAGAACTGAGTCACTCTGTCCATCTTTGCATATGCAATAAGTAGCACCTAAAAAACAAAAAAAACAAACATAAATTAGAAACAGATCAGCTCACGTGAATTCAATTTTTCCCTTAAAAAAAAAAAAAAATTGAAATTGAAAATCTAAGAACACATGAAAAGTAAATCTGAGAGAACACAAAACTTAATAGCTCACTTGAATGACCAGTCATGGCAAAGAAGAGCAATAAACACACTACAAAAACAGCCATTGTTGCAGCAGGATTGTGTATGTATAACTGTGCTTCAAGAGTGTTGGTTGATCTTTGAAATCAATATGGGTGAGAGAGAGGAGTTTAGAGAGAGAGAGAGAGAGAGAAATTATGGTGCTGTGGGGAGAATAGAGATTTCTAGACAAATAACATGGAGTGACGGTGGGATGCTGCTGGTGGGGGTGTCTATTTGTGATTGCTTTTCTTTCTATAAATATCTCTTCTGTATATATATAGTATATGTATTTATATCTCTTTGTCAAGAATTGGGCGAGGGTATCGTGGCTTTATTGGAAACAGTAACTCAGTAAAGCAATAAAGGCTTTTGTCATGCATTCGAATGTATTTACACGTGTCATGGGTGGTATTTAAAACGGTCACAAACCCATGTGCAGGGTTGAACTTAACCCAACCTGGGTTTATTTTTTAGGGGTCCCCAGTTGGGTGATTTTCAGTAGTCCTATTTTTAATGTGCTGTCACATGAGATAGAGAAATTATTAGGTAATCCGCATCACCATGTTATTTGTGGTTTGGGCAATCTTAACCGTCCATCCATCTAAAAAAAATTTGTCCACATATATTATGTGGCAATCTTGTGGGCAGGTATGAGGTACTGGCAGGTTACTATACTGATGAGTTATGGGTGCACAATTTCACATCACCTGGGTATATGTGGTGGTGTTATTTTTAATTGGTATATGTCTTTTGAGATAAAATTAAAGAGCAAAACCGTGCGAGTTCAGATCTTAGTGGACAATATTATACCATGTGGTGGAGTGAATTGTAACAATATGGTGTCAAAGTCTGACCCAGCCGGAAGTGTAGCCAACGAGGACGTTGAGCTCCAAGGAAGGTGATTGTGGCGATCTTGTGAGCGGGTGCGAGGCACTGACAGACTATTACACTGAATGAGTTACGAATGTACAACCCCACATCACCTAGTGTTATTTTTAATTAGTATGAGATTTTTTAGAGGTAAAATCAAAACTGTACGAACTCGTTAATAATATCATATCATATGATAAAATGAGTGGTTACATATTACACTTAAGCAAATCCTTTACGCATCAACCTTTCCATCTCCTCTCTCCTCCAACTCTCTCTCAATACATCTTTGTAATGTGCTGTCACTTGAGAAAGCACTATGGTATAGTGTGTGTAACTTTCTTTGCTTTGCCTTTATTTCAGGCATCTGCATCTGATTTTTTAGTCCATGAATCACGATCTCTCTTTCCTACTCAAAATGCCCCTTTTCTTTGTACAATAAAACTGCACCAATCAATTCAGGAAATTCAGTCAACAAAACACACTCAAAACTAATTCAACAACGACAACATCATAGTTTATGTAGGTGTTCGCATTCAAATTGAGCGTTTGGTTGTAAAATTGAATCTAGAAGTCCGCGGTCGCAGAAACGTGAGAGATGCAAGGCTAGGGCTCAAACGAAGGGCACATCATCATCTATCAACGGCCGCGATAGAGTCGCCTGCGAGCCATCACATCTGCCACAACCGCAACCAAAACGTCCATGTCGGCCGGAGTCATATCCTCACTTGGATAAATGTTATGCTATCATTAGTCTCATCACCATCGTCTTCATCGTGATAATCCAACAATGGGGACATCAATTTACTTAGTTTCTTTTTAATGTGTCACTCTTAGTTTCTCTTCCTTGCATTTACATGCTTATTTTAGTGTAACCAATAGCTCTAAGCTTTCATTGCTTGTCATTTATATACTTTCCCTAAGTGTCATACTTATCACGCTTTGTAACTCAGTTATTTTTAGGCTCAACCCATGAATCTTGTAAGTTGTAACTAGAAACTTTAAACTTGTACCTAACAAGAGATTGTAGCTTATCATCGTTGTAGTACTTCAAAATTAATGACGAGAAGGTCACTTTTTGCTTATAAATGTATTTAGTTTGTATGTTTCTTGGTTTATTGCGTAACATAATATTCAACTCATTTCAAGACTCGGCAGAGTCATTTATTTAAAATCAAAATGCATTAATCAATGACTTATTTAAAATCAAAGTGCACTAATTAATGACGGAGTGATTCCTACTCTTCACGATCACAAGTCAAATAACATATTTCTTAAGGCCAATAAGACATTTCTTAAGGCCATATACGATCGTAACATCAGCAATGTTTGCTTACCTTTCAATAACATTATTTCTACTCTCCACGATCACAAGTTAAATAAGACATTTCTTAAGGCCAATAAGACATTTTTTAAGGCCATATACGATCGTAACATCAAGAATATTTGCTTAGCTCTCAATAGCTTGATTGTAGCTAGTTGAGTCGTAAGTTTGGATCAAACGGTATTTAACAAGACTAACAAAGAAAAATGAATAACATTTGTGACTCCAAATAAAGAAGGAAAGAAATGGAAAGTCACAAATAGGTATAGGCAGAGCCTCTAGAACCCCTTCACTCACTTTTGAAATCACATAGGGAAAAAGGCCCCAAAGAAGGTTCTAGGCAATTTAAAATGGGTTATATTTCAAATTTTCGTATGGTTATTAGCTGATTACTGCTCATAATGAGATAATTAATAAGTTAATCATCAATGATAACCCCCTAGTGAAAGAACACAATCGAATAAAGAGAAAAGGTGTGGCTTTAGTTTTGTGTGCGAACATAAAAGTTACTCAGTTTAGGCGGAGTCTAAAGGAAGAACACTTGGCATTATTCCATGAACTTTTGCACTTGCTTTTTACATTACTTTCTTTGATGGGTCTCTAAACCTTTGATTGGGGTTTTGAAATTTCGACCCAACATAAAGGAAGAAGAAGAAGAAGAAGAAGAATATAACACACCCACAACCAAAAAAGGACAGACTCTCTCTCTCTCTCTCACACCCACACACACACACACAATCATTAAGTTTTACCAACAGCATTATAGAGATATGGTTTTGTGTCTTTATCTTTGGTGTTTGATTTAGGGACAGCATTGATGGGTAGTGTGCAACGTGAAGGTTTTATTCTAAAATTTTTGGAGGGTCTTTGATAATTTTTGTACTTAGTATATTACTTTAATACAAAAGTATTTATTCATTTCAAATTCTCGATATTTTCATCATTATGATAAATTTTTTATAACTTTTGAATATAACTCTAATTTTGGCGAATCTAATAAAAATTTTCGTTCTTATTGTGTGTTTCATCCGTTACACACAACAAAAAAAAAAAGACTCTCTCTCTCTCTCTTACACACACACAACCAATAATTTTTACCAACATTGTTCCTCTATTGATTACTTCTGTAAATAAGTGCATTATAGGGATATGTTTTTGTGTCTTTATCTGTTTTGTTTGATTTATGGAAGGTATGCTCAAATCTATTGTCATTTTTTCATGGTAATTTTATTTTCACCGAAAGACAAAAACACAGTTGGTTCATGAGTCGTGGGACTAACATGCATGATGCATTGTAGTATTGTTACTTCTTACTATGATTCTACTCTTACAAACACACATGAATTGTTACAAGAATTAATGTCTACCACTAAGGCTTCGTTTGGACACGGAAGAGAGAAAATAAAGGTAAAGATAATATTAGTTATGAGATAAGACAAATAAAATGAAAGGATAATAATAATTCACATTTATGTTTGAATAAATGGGAGAGAAAAGAAAGGAAATGTTTAGTATTATGATAAAATAGATGAGAGAAAAGAAAAGAAAGGATAACAATCGAATTAGTACTACTATACCTTCCTTCTATAATTTTGAAGGTGGTTCAATGTTATAATTTTGAAGACTAATTTTGGCATTATGAAAGTATCATTAACCCACTTTCATTTTCCTTCAAATCTTTCCAATCCTTTATTTTTACCTCAAATCGTTCCATCCAAACATGACATTTCTTATCCTTTGGACTCGGCTTAGCTAAGCCTAACACTTTTCTAACTCCTCACCTAAAGAGGAAGAACTATAAGATGATCGGAATAGGTTTCAGGAGTTGGTTTAGGAGCTTTTATTTGGAACTCTCATTTGAACTAAGAACTGAATGGATACGCTTTTGGATCACCATTTTGCTCATCATCTGTATTATAGCATTGGATAAGTGAGATTTCAAGTGTTTACATAATCTTCTTCTGTTTGAAGAAATGATTCATCGAAATAATGAGTCACCATTGATATCGACACATCTGAGATTGCCAAATGTTCGGAAGTTCCTCTATTCAATCCTTTTCCTTCTTCTTGTTGCTGGATATCTCGTTCGTACTTTTTTTTTCTTTCCTTATCCCCCAAATCCTCCCATCCTTACAAGACCAAAATGCACACATAGTTTTTGCATATGTATTGTGTTCCACAGGAAATGGTCCTTACTTTTGGTCAGGTTGGGGACGAGGAGGGATTCGACCCCCACTGGTTCGTAAATTATGCACTTCAATCCTCTGAACTATAAGTTTCACTATTTCTTCTCCGAAATCCCCTTAAAAAAATAATAATAATAAATTCATTTTCAATTTGTGCATATGCTACGTCTTATATCACATAATGATAGATTAAAAAATTTTAAATAAAAATTCAATTTCTTTTCCTTTCTACCTATTTCACGCTAACCAAACAAACTCCAAGGACAGTAAACCCTTAAATACTATATTAATTTTCATTTACATTAAAAAAAATCCATATAACTTATAAGTATTGGAAATAACAATAAACTCACATGATAAAAGTTTCAATATTTATAAAGAAAACATAAATCACTAATTTCATATTTATATTAGAGAAAATTATCTCATGGATTTTAATATACCCAACTAATTTCACCCTCCAACCTACTTTATTTATTCGTTTATTTATAATTTAACTAGAAGTACCGTATTATTTTTAATTTTCTCTAATATCTCATGTAAAAATTAGCTCTAAAAATTTAACATTCATATAGTTTTCTTAGTATTATCTTAAACACAACATTTTCTTTTATATCACAACTGCAGCTTTAGACATATGACTTATCATGCAATAGTTGCTCATTCAAACATGAAAAATGAATGATAGGATATGTAAATAAAGTTGGAAGTAATTTAAACTTAACACATAAAAAAGCGCTCATAATTAAATATTTTTATGCCACTAAAATTATCAAAGAGTTCGTTTCTTAATATTTAAGAAAGACGTAGGCTCCGTTTGGTTAGATGAAAATAAGTAAGAAAAATAAAAAATGGAAAATGAAAGAAAAGTGAAGTGAATAGAAAAAAAATTATTTTCCAGCATGCATTTGATTAGAATGAAAATTTATTTAAGAAAATTGTAGAAAAATATTAATTTGTTATTTTAGATGGCATAAAAGTGAAAAGAAATCGATTGAAGATACCAAATTTACCTTTATAATTTTAAATACTAATAAATAAATAAATTTGTATTTGTTGATGTCTATTTTTAGCAAAGAAATAGTAAAATAATGGATTATTAAATTTAATAATATAATTATTTATATTTAAAATAAGACTTCATAATATTTTCTAAGGCAGAAGTAGAACTAATTATTAGTGTATGAGAAATGAAACTTAAAAAAAATATGGAGATGTATTGATGGCAATACTAATTTTTTTTTTAGAGAGATTTGATTGTATTTTGTTGTTGCCAATTACATATGAACTTGTGAAAAAAAAAAAAAAACGAAGAAAAAGTTGTTTTAGAGAGAACTTGCCTCTTAGAAATCCAGTACAAAAATAAAAGAAGAAATTATTTTTCATGATTAAGTTAATGGTTAAAATAGGAATGTCAAGTAAAAAGGTTAACATTTCACATGAAAAAAATTATTTCCCTGTGTTTTGTGTATGAAAAGTTTTGAGAGAAAATAGACAAGTATGGAAACAAAATTTTCTATTAGTTTTCTCTTTCTATCTATCCAAAATTTAAAAATTTTCTCTTTCCTTTCTTTTCTAGCTGTTTTTACCCAACCAAACAAAGCCTAAAAGAAATTATATGTCAATATATATGGGTGAGAAAGTGGAAAAATATCAAAAAGAAAAAAAATATATAGAGCACTACACTATCTATAGATTGACATTAGTGGTGGTAATTCGTATTCGTATGTCATAATCGTATTGTGTCAATAGAAGAGTATTCTATCAAATAACTCAACTCAAACATGATCTGTTTAATAATCGTGTTAAGAACTTTTCACACTAACTCGATGTATTTAGTAAATAGGTTACACGTGTAATCTGTTTAATGACCTATTTATTAAAATAAATAATTATATTAATTAAATTATTAATAATACTCAATCAAACAATAAATACTAGAAAAATATAAATTTCAATCCAACCAAATTATAAAACACAAGCCTAGATAGTTATTTTGGAACTTAAAAATAAATTTATTTATGCTATGTAGAGTTAAATAGGTATAAATGAGCAAGCAAGGACCTGCTTAATTTTTTTTTTTTATTTGTATTATTATCTATACTTTTTGTTAAAATTTTGAAAATGCTCCCTCTCAATTTGTAAAAATTAAAAAAATACCCCATCAATTTGTAAAAGTATCACACTTCACATTCTTGCCCCCATTAATTTGTTAGATACAAAAGATAATCGTTTCTTTTTCACTCTCTACCGCCCGCCATATTCATGATTCTCTTTCACACACTTTTATATTTCCACTTAATTTTTAAAATTATCCACTATATATATTCTTGCGTTTTAGATTAAAAAAAAAAGTAAAGTAAATCGGCTTTCTTGTTTCTTCACGCCCCATATCCATGGTAATCTAGAAACACGGACACGGTTAAAAGATCAAAGAATCTGAGTTAGACAAGCCACAAAAAATTAAATTATTATATTTATTATCTAATTTAGAAAAATTATTTTCAATTATTTTTATTCTTCAACAGTGCCCCACTCAAAAAAAATTCTGGGTCCATCGTTGTAAATGGTTACATAGGTTAAACCATCTCAACCTAAACACAACACGATTAATGACCCAAACCTCGTTTAAGGTCAACCCAAATTATTTAACTCGTGTCGTGTTTAAATTGTGTTGGCGGGCCATGCCAAATTTTGTCACCCCTAACCTCAAATTCCAATATAAAAGATTGAAATTCAAATCAAGTGAACGTGTGATTAAAACCAAACCAAAAAAAAAAAAAAAAATGTACCTATAGAACATATGTTCATGGAATTTTTGTTGATGGGTCATGATTGCACCACCTATGACTTATTGGGCTGAAAGTGCCTATAGAACATAGTATTTGTGATTGCCGGTTTCTTCCATTTATTCCAAGGCAAAGATTATTTCAGATCAGTCAAACAAAAATATTCTTCAAGTGATATCTCCTACTTGCATATGTTTGCTGAGTTAATATAATTGGGTGATGACTGATCAACCCAGCAAAACATGGTGTATTTGGGCCCATATGTGCTTGCATGTCCTTTCTTTTTTTATTCTCGGCCCAATAAATCTTCAAAAATCACCATCAGAATGGCCTGCAAAATATGAAGGTGAAGTCGAGGCCCAGTTTGATTCTGAATTGTTTTGATCATAAAATGTATTATATAAGCGAATAAAACTTTTCACTACTTGTTTTTCAAACTGAGAAATGATCCATAAATTATTCTAATCAGGCAACCCATTTTGATTCGAGTTGGTTTGATTATTTTGATATCTTTTGACTGCAGAAATTAGACCACAATTTATTCTAAAAACTTAAACTACATTTTTATTTTATTTTATTTTTTAATCCTAACATGTATTTTAATTTTAATTATGATGGTGAGTTAAGATTTGACGGCTATCTTAACGATCATCTACATAAAAAATTTACATTAATAAGTTTCAAAAAGATGGTGTAACATTTAATGTTTATACTATACTTCTAATTTTACCTAATAGCAATGCGGATTATTTTACTACATTAAATGAAAAGAAAAATAAAAATAAAATAGTATTACTCCTAATTCTATTGAGATAATTATATTGTTACTTATACGATAGTATATGATTGATTGATGATATTAATGATAAGGTATTTCGGGTGCAGTTGATGTGGCATTTCAGTAGCAAGGACGCCATAACACATATTATCATTCATATGTATGTGATATCTTAAAAAAAGTTTTAACACACATATTATCATTCATATGTTAGATGTCAGTAACGTGACACCGTAACCGACACACATACCTCTGTTGGGAGAGAGAACCCATTTATTTATTTATTTATTTTTAAAGTGCAAGCCAACAAACTCTAATGATATTATTCTTAGCTTAACTCTTAAGTTCAATATGCGTTCTGAAAAGACGAGTTCATACCATTTGAACTAATACTCATTGATAAGACACAAAATTCATGTAGAGAAAATGAATATGATAGATTGGATCATAGGAGTCACTACTTAAGTCATATAATTCTTCTCGACAAGTGTCGCTCTCACGTTCCGGCTTAAATTCTCACTACTTATGACTTAATTCTGCCGCTCTCACACTCTCACTCCCGCTTTATGTGACTTATGTTACTACAAGAGATAAGATAAATAATGAAGAATATTAGATATAATACCTATAATCAAATACAACACATTCATGTAACCGAAACGAAAATGGTAGGTTGAATAAAAATGATAAATATTGAAGAACGTTAGGCATAATACCTATAACTAAATACAATACACTTATGTAGACGAAAGGAAGATGGTAGGTTGGATAAAAATTACGAATGTGTAAGAGTAACATTAAGTATAAATGCAAATTATAAAATTAAGCAAAATATAAAGGTTCTGATGGTCATGTTTGTTTAAAAGATGTAATGCATGTTGGTCTGATGAGAGAGCCCATTTAATGATGGGCTCGAGGACTCTATCCTATCCTATCCAATCCAATCCAATCCAATCTGGTACATACCCCAATCCTCTTCTTTTAATTCCCATGTTACCCCTCCATTTCCAGATAATATCTCAAATGCAACTCACTCATTCAAATTACCAAAATATCCTTCAAACAATTAACATCGAACCCCCCCTAAAACACACCCAAAACCCTATCATTTCTCACACTCTCTCAAAATGCAGTCTCGGCAATAGATGCTTAGTCACAGAGCTACTCATCAATGGTTTCCATGGCGATCCTGGCTCGATCCCGACCGTTCATAAAAAACCTAAGTTACGATTCCATCAAATCCATCACAACCTTCACATTTCTCCGGCAAGAGCCCCAGCTCGCAGAGTCACCACCACCACCACCACCACCACAATCAGAAGCAGCAGCAGCAGCAGCAGCACCACCACCACCACAATCAGCACCACCACCACAATCAGAAGCAGCAGCAGCACCACCACCACAATCAGAAGCAGCAGCAGCAGCACCACCACCACAATCAGAAGCAGCAGCAGCACCACCACCACCACAATCAGAAGCACCACTGCCACCCAACCCAGCCTCAGGCAGTCCACTCTACAGCAAGGACTGGCGAAACCCGGTCCCGAACACCGCAGCCTCTCTATCTCAGGAAGTCATCCCCATAGGGTTCATCAACCAATTGCCCATCGAACATGTCCAACTCCTCTCGAAAAACCTAGACGTCCCGACCATCTCGAATGTCTTCGCCGATTGGATGACTTCGCAGCGATGGAAGGACATGAAGAAGCTCTTCGAGTTCTGGGTCAAGTGGCTCGACACTAAAGGGAAGCCCAATCAGCCTGACGTGAACTTGTACAATCAATACCTGAGGGCTAATCTGATGATCAAAGCGTCGGCCGCCAAAATGTTGGATCTGGTGGCGGAAATGGAGAACTACGGCATTATGCCCAACACTGCGTCGTTTAATTTGGTCCTCAAGGCGATGTATGAGTCCAGAGAGAGCGTTGCCGCCGAAAAATTGCTTCAACGGTTAGCTTTTCTTGGATGTTTGTGTTTTATCGATTTGTGATTGCATTTTTAAGATTATAGATTACTTATCTTAGCTATAGTGTGTGATATTTATGCAAGAGTTTGGGTGGTTGCTGAGGGGTTGGTCAATATGGAAAAATTGTGGAAAATTGGTGATTTTTTATTTTGTTATTATTATTATTATATATATATTTTTTTTGTATTTTTTTTGGATCAAAATGTAGAGAAATAGTATAACATTTTGTACTTCAGTCGTTAGTAGATTTGGAGTGACACTCTGTATATGTCACGAGTTCTGTGAAAGTGGGTTTTCATTGCCTTGCATTTGGAAGGATAATAATTGGAGCAAAATTCAATGAAGTGATAAATATAGAGTATGAGGGGCAAATATTAGACAATTAATTGGCTTCATGATTGGGTCTTGATACTATAATGATAGCACTTCAAACCCAAAAAGTTACTTTGAACAACCACTTTCAGTACTTAGGATTGATAATACAAAATGATGAAGAGATAGGTAGCAATATCACTAGTAGAATTGTTGTGGATTGGACAAAGTGGAGGCAAGCTAGTGGAATATTATGTGACTAGGAGAGATAAGGTCACTAATGAAAGAGTGAGAAGAACTAGGTGTAGCATCTGTTGAAAATTAGAGAGAGTAGACTTAGATGGTTTGGAGTCTTGGACACATATACTAGAGACCTAGAGACATGCCGGTTAAGCGGGGAAGACTAGTCTTAATAGAAGGTAAGAGACGGCGAGGGCGACCAAAAATAACATGGGACGGAGTTATTAAACATGACTTTAAAAATTTAAACATGGAAGGGGAAATGACATGTAATAGGAAAGAATGGAGAGAAATAATTTATGTGGCCGACTCCATTCATATGGGATTAAGGCAAGGATGATGATGATTTGGTTATCATTTTTTCCCCCAATTAATTCTAGATGACTGATTTGAAAATTCCAAAGATAAGAAGATGTCCTTTTCTATTCATTATTGTAATGGAAGCCTTTAGTAGACTCATGAAAAGGGTAGAGGTTCTGGGCTTTATTCAAGGTTTTACAGTGGGCTGTGCACCAAATCAGATTTGTACATCTCACTTGCTGTTTGCTATGGCGCCATTGTGTTTTGGGATGCTAGTGTGACTCAAGTGAGACACTTTAGGTGTGTTTTGGCCTATTTTCAAGTGGTTTCAGGGTTGAAGATTAATATTGGAAAGAGTGTGATTGTTCCAGTAGGGGATGTGGGACATATTCGTGAGTTGACAGATATTTTGGGTTGTGGAGTGGAGGTTTTTCCTATTTCTTAATTGGGGCTGCCATTGGGTGCTTCCTTGAGGAGAGTTGTTGTGTGGGATCCAGTGGTGGAACGTTTTCAAAAGAGGTTATCTGAGTAGAAGAAGCAATATTTGTCAAAAGGGGGTAAACTTACATTGCTGAAGAGTACCTTAGCTAACCTTCCTACATATTTTGTGTCTTTGTTTCCAATCCCTAAAGCAGTGATTGGTAGACTTAATAAGATTTAGGGGAACTTTTTGTGGGGGTTGTAGGGGATGAGTTTAAGTACCACCTTGTGAATTGGGAGAAAGTGTGCACCCTGATTCAAAGAGGAGGCTTGGGATTGGGCAGGTTGGAAATGTTTAATAAAGCTCTGTTAGGGAAATGGTTATGGAGATTTGGATGCGAAAGGTCCGTGTTTTGGAGGCGTGTTATTGCTTGCCGGTTTGGGGAAGAGGAGGGAGGTTGGGTGTCCAGAGGTGTGAATGCATCAGCAGGTATGGGATCATGGAAAGGTATTAGGAGGGGGTGGGACGAATTCTCTAAGCGGATACGGTTTCGAGTTAGGGATGGTAGTTTTGTGAGGTTTTGGACGGATGTTTGGTGTGGGGATGTGGCGTTGGCTTGTAGGTTTCCTAGACTTTATAGGATGGTTGAGGTGAAGCATGCGGTGGTGGCAGATTATTTTAGGTTAGAGAATGGGAGAGTTAGTTGGGATGTGAGATTTTGCAGAAATTTTAATGATTGGGAGTTGTTAGAGTTTACCGAATTAATGGGAGTTGTTAGAGTTTACCGAATTAATGGGATTAATTTATAGTCAAGTGGTGGAGGGGGAAGGAAGGGATGAGATGGTGTGGAAGGGGGATTCTAGAGGGGTGTTTAAGGTGAGGCTGTTTTATAAAAGTCTTACGAATTTGATGAGCAATGGATTTTCTTGGAAGGTTGTTTGGAGGACTTCAACTCCAATAATGGTGGCTTTTTTCACGTGGACAGCAGCGCTTGGCAGCATTCTTACTTTGGATAATCTCAGAAAAAGACACCAAATAACAGTTAATTGGTGTTGCATGTGTAAGAAGGTGGGTGAATCAGTTAATCATCTCTTGTTGCATTGTAGGGTGACAGCGGATGTTTGGAGTCTGATGCTGAATGTTTTTGGGGTGGAATGGGTAGTGTCAAGTAACACGATGGATATGTTAGAAGCTTGGAGAGGGAGTACAGTGGAAAGTCGGGTTAGGAAGGCGTGGAGGGTTGCACCTCTTTGTATTTGGTGGGGGTTGTGGCACGAGAGGAATAGGAGATCTTCCGAAGGACAGGAATCGTCGGTGTGGGTTATCAAGGCGAATATTTTGCACTCTCTTTATTCTTGGGTTAATGGGAAGAATTGCCCATCTGTAGATAGTTTTTTGGATTTTGTTGACAATTTATCGTTGTATTGACGCGCCTGCGTTTTTGTTTTATTTGTTTTGTTAAGGGTTCACTCCCCGCTGAGCGCGTTTGTTAATATATCTTTACTTATCCCCCAAAAAAAAAAAAAAAAAAAAAAGAAGATATCAATTCTTCCTCTCCCCTCCCTTTTGTTTTTGGGGGTGGTTCATGGTTGGAATCAAAATGTCACTCATGAATTTTTCATAGGTCTTAATTGAATGCCATTAAGGATTTTAGGAAATAATGGGATGTTGAATAGATGTTGACATATTGATGACATGCATGATTGGATTATTACTTAAATGAGAGCAATATATCAGACAAGTCAATTTTCAATTAGATTAGGCGTTCACCTGGGATTAATTGATTGTATTTACCTGTCACATTCAGGAAGAAGATTGCATTATTTATAATTAATTTCAAATTATCAGAATAGTGTTGGGACGCAATTTTAGAATTTAGAACCATGAAAAGATGCAATTATATTAGCACAATTATATGTAGAAGATAAATTGAAAAATTAACATTTAGAAAATTAGGTGCAATAATAATGTTGTATGGAGCAATGTGTCGGGCATTAAAAAGACACAAATACATGTTCATGTTGTGGATATGAGGATGTTACATTGGATGATAGGAATAACTAGAGGAGATAAGATAAATAATGAACGTGTGAGAGAAACATTAAATATAGTGCCTATAAATGATAAAATTATGGAAAGTAGACTTAGGTGGTATGGTTATATTCAATGCAGACTTGATGATGAACCAGTTAAACGAGGAAAAGTTGTTTGCCTGGGAAAATGACAAAAAGACTGACCAAACCTTATGTGGGATTAAATAATTAAAAACAATTAAAAAAAATTAAATTAAAAGGAAGACGGTGTATGATAGGAAAGAATGAACAAAGAGAATTCATGTGGCCGACCCCATACATATGGGATAAAGGCAAGGATGATTATTATTATGAATAATGAAGAGGTATAGTGGAGAAATGAAAATTGCTGATCAAGACACTAACAAGCACCCAATGCCTTGAGTTGATAACTCACAATAAGGTGGTAGAGATTGAAGGGAAAACTATTCTTAAATTTGGAGTGGTCCAGTTGAAGTGTAGAATTTCCATTGGGGTGTTGTTCAGCATCCCAAACTTGTCAGCCGAAATGAAAAATATTATAAGATGGATTAGCACAGCCATAATTTATGCTAGCATGCGTTGTTTGTACAATGGCCATTGCAATGTTGGGAACTGGCTTGGTATGCGTTTTTTTTTCTCCCTAAATGCTTGTGATTTGTAAAGAAAGAACTCAAGGGAGTACAAGATTAATGAGGGCATAGTCCCATGAAAATAAAGGCCACTATGGAATATAACCACTTCCAATAGATAGCCAAATCACATGAACAGAAAAATACAACTGACAGAAACAGCAAATACATTATGAAAAGTCTAGACAGTTGAAATCTTGCAAATTCAAGCCAAGGAGCTGCAAACACTCCCATAAGCTAGATAAAGCCATCTATTTATCCAAAAAAAAGCTAGACAAAGCCATCTCTTGAGAGGATTTCCTAATCACATCATGCAAAGCAGCATTTCTTTCCCTCCAAATAGCCCAAAAACCAGTAGGCATAAGGCATTGCAGGAATTTAGATTTCATAGAAGAACCACCAGTATGATCTATAACAACCATTTCACCAGCTGAAGCACATTAATAAGTTGAGGACCAGCAGCATTCATGAGATGAAAAATCTTCTCTAGCAAAAGAGCAATTACAAAACAAATGGTCCACACTATCTAAGTTCGCCATAGCAGCAATGACATATTGATGTGAGTTGTAAACCCTTCTTCTACATGTTAAACAATGTTGGAATTGAATCCTGCAAAATTATGCATGTTTTAAATGCAGCACTAGGCCTGCAACCTTTCGAAACCACTCTAAACCGGTCCACCCTTGGCCCTTTACTTCTACCCTGATCCCAAACAGATTTGATTTTATTTATTTATTTATTTTTTAATGTCTTTTATTATCCTTATCTCATTTGTGGCATGAATGATGGTCTTAGCTAGATGTTTTTGAGGAGTGGCAATTCCATGATGATTTCCTACCACAAGGTGTCTAGTGGCGAGTATATGGCTAAATCTTTGGAAGGTATTTTGAGAAGCCTGATCGATTGGGGTGGAGCCCTGAGCCATTTTATTTGGGAAATTAAAATGGGTGAAATAATTTTGCATTTTAGGTACGAAGGGTATTACGGTGATTGTCATGTAACCCTAGTACGTACACTATTTATTTTATTGTTGGCTACACATTCGTCTGGGTGAGTGAGAGGTCTTGTAATCATATCACTCTATTCCTCCATTTCTGAAAAATAGTGAAACCAGTGTGAGCCATGGACGTAGATGATATTGTCGAACCACGAAAAAATCTGTGTTGTATTTCTTTCTGTATTGTTACATTGTGGTTGTGCTTTGTTTTTTTCCCAAGTGATTTGTCATCTATTGCATTATCCGGTAACTAGAAATTTAAGATCTATTCCTTTATCTTTGTTTGGTGTTTAGTGGGTTATGTATGTTAAGATCACTGTTTGTGGTGTTTGAATCTAGGCTGGGGGCTAGGGTTTGGGAGAGGGAGGCCAGTGGGGAGAACTGCATCGTTATGGCTTTGGTGGTGGTCTCTCTGGATGTAGAAAAATAGGTCCACTTTTGGTGGATGACAGCCACTTTTGACTTCAAAGTTTCAAGCATGAGATGTTGAATTACGTCTTTATGTTTTTTGGGGGAGAGATTAGTTCTCTTATATTTCCGTTGAGACTATTTAGGCGATGTGTTCTGTATAGAGAAATTGAATGGTTGTGGTTTCTTTATATGTTTCATGTATATTTCGTTTTCGCCCTTTAGCATTCCTTAGTGGTATTTTTCTTATTGAAAAAATACAAATATAGGAATTTGTAGTTTCATAGGGATAGCACTAAATACTTGGACGTAAGTCACCCAATTTTCTTTGCGTTTTTGTTGTTGTGGCCTTAATTGGATGATCATCATATTTGTTTTGCTTTATATGCAATCTGTCCATTCAATAAATCGCCCCGCTTGATGAACCACTTATGTTGATTGAGTAACGTCCTTGGTCAGAGCTCAAGCATCTAATGGATTGTTCATGTTTGATATCCATGTTATTACTCTAAATTCAGTGCAGGATAAACTGGTGTATTAGTGGTTTTTGGCCTACAGGAGTAGGGATGAAGCAAATCGAAACTGGTCCTAGTACAAGTCATACAAATTGAAGCAAATCTCTTTTATATAATGCAAAGAAAGCTGCATTTTGTTGTCTGGGATATTTATAAATAATAATCATGATTATTCTTTTCCCTTTCCTTTTCCTTATATAAATTTGAGATTGTATTGTATTATTTGTTGCATGAATAATGAGTTTTGGGTGTATGTATCTTTCTGCTTGTTATATCCCCAATTCTCAGACACAGTATATGGGAAACGGTTGAACTACCGATGTATCCAATTTTTCTTTCGGAACACTTGTGCCTCATATTATTCCCCTTTAGTGGGGTTGGGGTGTAGAAGATGGTTATGTTCCCATTCGGCAGTTTCTTGTGTAAACCTATAATATTAGTCTATATTACCGCAAAAAGTTTTTTTTCCCTCCCTACCTACATTTTTTTGGAAATAATATGATTGTCATGCATATGTTGACTGTTTGTTGGATGGATCTTTACTTTATTGTTATCAGGATGTTGCAGACAGGAAGAGAATCACAGCCTGATGATGAGTCATATGACTTGGTTATAGGATTGCTGTTTTTAACACACCAGATTGATACTGCCCTAAAATATACAGACTTGAATTTAAAATCTGGGCAGATGCTATCGGTGAATGTGTTTAACAAATGTGCGCAGAGCTGTGTCAGAATGGGGAGGCTGGATACTTTGGTTTCAATTATAGAGAGATGCAAGGTATATCTGCTGTGGTTAATTGTTGAAATTTCTATTTGAGGTAATGCACCTTACGAGTACATTTTTATGTGACTTTGTTATTCTGGGTGTTATCAGGAAATGGAACAGAACAAAGCCCTTAGTCCCCCTTGGAACTTATGCATCAATATTGCAGATGTTGCAGTGCAGGAGGATAATGGTGAATTAGCTTTTTATGCACTGGAATTCCTGGCTAAATGGATTAATCGGGGTGAGAAGGCGAGGCCCCTTGTAATGCTCTCTGTGGATGAGGGGCTGGTTGTGTCTCTGCTCGGAACTGCCTCTAGGACATACAATTCCAAACTCTTGGAAGGATCATGGGAAATACTAAAGCGCTCATTGCGTCAAAAGAAGCCTAATGCAGAATCTTACCTCGCAAAGATATCTGCTTATGCTTCGCTGGGGAATCTGAAAATGGCTTTTAGTACACTGCACGAATTTGAGACCACCTATGCGAATTCTACTAAAGAAGCTGAAGAGGATCTATTCTCTCCATTTTCCTCGTTGTATCCACTTGTTGTGGCGTGCACCAAGAATGGCTTTGTGACTTTGGATTCAGTATGTCTTTCTATTTACCAATCATATACTGTTGACTGATACTGAGTCATCTATTAGTTTGCTATGTTATTGCAATTTGGGATGGCAATGCACCTGGATTTTTTGAGTGTCTGCCCACCCCACCCCAATGTACCCTTTTATTGTGATGGATTTAACAAGTAATTGAAAGAGAGTAGGGGCGTATTTGCGGTACAGAATGTATCCATCCCACCCATGGTCAAGACGACATTAGGATCAGAGTGACTTACTCCAGCTCTGTCCCAACTATTTGTTTGCCCTCATGAAGTTAAATATACCTCAATTACCATAACAGACAAGTTTACAATTTTTTAATGTACATGCTCACTCACTCCAGACTCGGCACACTCATCTTGTCTCAAATTAGTCTCACAAAGGCATTTTATTGCCATAGCTGTCACCAAAGTCTTCTGTTACTTCATAGGTTCATTGTATCACCGAAGCTGGTCCATCTAGATTTAGTTGACTGTTTCTTTATTCTTTTCCTTGTAATATAATATTCTTGATATGAAGTTTTATTTATTTATTTTTTAATTTTTAAAAAAAATCTCAGATCTGTTATGTTTTTTGAAATCTTTGTGTGTGTCTATATATATATATATATATATTTTTTTTTTCATATCATTTTGCGCCTATAATTTACTTTGTCTATGATTTTTATGGGCTTTTTGGTATCATTTTGAGATTGACTCAAATTTGTTCCTTGTTTTATTTTTTTATTTCATGTGATTTTGAAGTATAATATTTGAGATTTATGAGATTTGTGGAAAAAGATTAGTTAATTTTTAAGGGTTTTATTATGTCCTTATTTTTCCCTATAACAAATCATTTGATCGCCCTCCTCAGGTTTTTGATGGGTGCCTCCTGATGGAAAACAAATAAGCAGTCAACTTGTATTTTCCTCTTCTTCTGTCCAAATGTTTTCTGTGAGTATGGTTCTAGAGCGGCTAGTGTGGTATAGTTGTTATGATGTCTTAACTCATTCATTTAGGATGGTTATGGTAAAAAACTCGCTGAATTTTCCTTCGTTTTGTTAATGGTCTTCGCCATTTATGCCACAAAAACTGATTTAAATGCTTATATTTATGGGATGGCGGTGACTGATTTAGCTATTTTGGGGTTGGGTATGGGAGTATCGTAAATCCGTCTCTAGTTTGGGGACAGGGACGGGGCCTCTGTTGGTGAGGTGGGGTTGGAGTGGGGGGGCCTGGCCTTTAACCACACCATTGACATCCCAGATTGCAACTTTTTGTTTTGTTGCTTTGGCCTGTTTTATATTACTTGAATTTATGTAAAAGAACTAATAGGTTAGTATTTGTTCTCTTTTATTTTTCTTTGCAGTTCTTTGTTGCGCATTAGATTATTCAGGAGTAGAACTATAACAAATACAAGCCCTCTTCTCCCAACTTTTTATTTTTAATAAAATCTCGGCTACTTGAGCATGTGAATGTGGATTCGAGTTTGAGGGCGGTCCAAAAAATATTTTCATCTTCTTTAAAGAGTGGATCTATTAAGAAATAATTTAAATGTTGCTAGAGACATGCATGTAGCACTCATATATTCCCCATAACTCTTTGTATGGAGAATATATAGAGTTAGGTAATAATTCAAAATTTTAAGTTTGTACTAATTTACCGCTATCAGCACCCTTGACTAACAAAGTCTAACAAGGATCAACATTAGGTAATGATTTTTTGTTTTCTATGTGGAGGGAAGGCCTAAAAATATTTTCAACTTCTTTAACGAGTGGATCTATTAAGAAATAATTTAAATGTTGCTAGAGACATGCATGTAGCACTCATTTATTCCCCATAACTCTTTGTATTTCTTTTTGAGTGTTATACTGTTATCTGACAGGCTCGAGGAATCAATAGAATGTATAATTGATGTTTCTCGAATGGGTACTTGGTAAAGCTTCTTTTTGTTATTCTATTTTGGACTGTGACATTTGTGTTCTTAAATTTTTTTCCCAGGTCTACTATCAACTGGAAAACTTGAGGCAAGCTGATCGTCCTTACACGTCTGTTGCTGCACTGAATTGTGTAATTCTAGGTTGTGCCAATATATGGGATGTTGATCGGGCCTACCAAACTTTTAATGCAATTGGTTCCAGTTTCGATCTGATGCCTGATATCCATTCATACAATTCTCTGATGCATGCATTTGGGAAGCTCAATAAGGTGGATAGTGATGCTTTTCCCCCCTTCCCCTTCTCCCTAATCCATATTTATATACACATATCCATGTAATGGGCAAGCTCGCCCCTTCATCTTGCCATTCTGCTGGCTGCATCATGGAGTCCCCAATGACAATGCCTGAGGTAACCCTGCCCATGGTCTGCACGTCCCAGAAATCTGTTAGCTTGTAACATTTTAGTAACTGTTATTTTGGGTTCTTGGGACTGATTTTTGTTGTGGGGGCTGATAAAGGGGCTGGAGCATGTATTATTCGGGGACCACGTTCTCATGTTGCAATACTACATGATGCATTGTCAATATTGCATATGCATCTGATTTGCAAAGAAACACAAACCTTAATGTACACTTTCAAAATTGCATGTTTAATACTGTGTGACATAGTTCTGTAGCGCCAGTGAAATTTCTTTTCTTGTGGCAGACAATTGAAGCTTCAAGTGTATTTGAGCATTTAATTAGTAAGGGTGTGACACCGAATGCAATGACGTATTCTCTGCTTGTTGATGCTCATCTCATCAAACGAGATCCAAAGGCCGCTCTCTCTGTGATAGACGAGATGGTACTCGTCCTTTCTGCAATTAATTAGTTGGCTATTGTTTCTGCATTTTAGATTAGTTAATTTTCGCAATAAAGCTCATTAATGATATAACAAACCGCATCGGCAGGTAAATGTTGGATATGTACCATCAAAGGAAACACTAAAAAAGGTCAGAAGGCGATGTATTCGAGAGATGGACCGTGAGAGTAACGACAAGGTGGAGTTCTTGGCCAAAAAGTTCAACATCATATTGGGCTCAGAGAAACGTCGAAACATGCTGTTTAATCTCGAGTACAGTACTGATTATGCATGATAGGTAAACTCTTCCATCATGGCATATTATAAACGAAAATCTTCTTTGCCGTAACTTAACAGTTGGCCTATGTGAGAATTGCTTCAATTGGTCTTTAGATTCTTCAGGCAGAAAAAAATTGATATTTTATGTTCTCTGTGTATTTTGTATTTTGTTCAGATGTTTAGAAGAACACAAGGCAATTGGTTTTTGTCATTTTTATTTTCAGTCTGAAGGACTCACCAGACCATTGTGTCATTCAGATTTATTCCTTTTTTATTTGCAAGATTACAGCTAGTATACAACATTTTATTATTGAGCTTCTTAAATAGGTCGTCGGTATCACATTTGCTGAGATATTAATTTTTTGAGTCTGCTCTCAGTTTCACTTGAATTACTTCTCTTGTATTGGGATATCTTAGCACTGCACAACTTGATTTGACAAGTTGTTTCATGTCTTGGTTCATAACACATTTAGTGAACGTTTCACTGTTTTTAAAATGTGTAATTTGTACTCGGGTTTTGAGTTCGAGTCATAGCCTTCTATGGGCAAATATTTGTGTTCTTTATTTTTGTGCTTTCTTGGGGAGAAAGGATAGTGAATGTTATTTTATCTATTGAGATATTGAATTTGAGGAATAATGTAGGACCATCTATCTATTCCACTGGAGATGCTTTGGCATAGATTTTTTTCCCCTACAGATCTCATCTTTTGGCATGTTGCATTTTGATGCCCATGTTTTCTATAAATAATTAACTTTTAAAAGATTATTGCGGTATATTATTGTTGCGTCAAAAGCTGGAACAGGTTTTGTAATCTGGTCTTGTGGTCAGGATGGAACTGATTTAGGCAAGTGCTCATGCAGAATGAGAGGACGCTTTCGTGCGATTTGAGGAGGAAAGCCGGAAGAATTTTTTTGGCGTTAACAATTGCGAAAATGTGTTACCAACCGATTATATCAGGAATCAACAATGAGCTGTACAGCAGGATAGTCCACCAACATATCCATAAACCCATGGAACTCTGATAAAGTGAATCCGGGTCTTCAGCAAAGCCTCCTGTGGATTTCTCCAACACCAGATGAACTTTATGTTGCTGTAGTTCGGAGTTTTATTGACCACCGGCTTTCTGGTCTTGTGTTAGTTCCTTGGGGACTTTAATGGGATTGTTTGTTTTTCAGTCATTTGGGCAGATTGTTGAATAGAGTTGTAGACACTTTGGGACATAATAAAATTGGTGATTCAATTAGTGGACATCTATGTTGAATCATGATGCTTTGTCTTCAAATGTGGCAATTCTATGCATTATTTTCGATATATATATATTTTTCTTTTTGATTGTTTCTCAATATATTCAAAACATTTGCAGGAAACCAGTTTTAGGTGCATGACTGCTACTTGATTTAGCCGTAGTGAAAGTGAGAGCTCTAAATGAGCACTTTTCATAGCATTTAAAGTATCAACCATTTTGAAATGAAGATGTCTCAACTATTTTGATTGATTTAACTTCATTTATGAGAGAATCAATATTCTTGAAGGCACAAGCTTATGGGCCAAACCTTGGATGTTTTAACAATTTCATGTTACAATTATAAATCAATAAGTAAAAGCAGACTACAGAAACAACTTTTGTAAGTTTGGATCAATCCCTAAAAGTTCAACTTTATTCTTTTCTCTGATTCTGCAAGCTTTTTAACATGCATACACAAAAAACACTTGGCCTAGCTAGGCCGCGAAATCTTGCCTCCCACCTGCAGAATTTTGATTCGTGAAAACCCGGTCAGCATCTTTCGGAGTCTCCTTTATTACCTTCCTCACTAATATGCAGTGTTCTGCAAAGCCAATTGATCTGAATATTCAACTCTACGACGCCAGAGTTTGAGCAGCCTTCTGAAATGATAGAGAGAATTTCGTGAGCTTAGTGCCGAATTGTAAAATTGCATACTAGTACTTTTTCTCTGTTTAATCCAAACAACTATAAGCCTACAGGCATTGTAGAGCCTGATAATCTTGGTTTCGTGGACATGTTGTTTGGGATTCACTTGGAGCAAGGGACCAAAATTCTGATAGCATGATCACATGCCTAACAAATATAACAACTTTGTTGTTTTAAGTTGTTCATGACAGAATTCTCTCTACCAGTCTCGAAACTTTGACCTAGGACGGGTCAACTTCCTTGAATATAGAAACCCCTGGTTAAAGATATGAGGAGTTTTTTCCTATGCATTTGTGCATCCTTAACAAATTGCACAAGATGATAACTCGAGAAGTTGAGATTGCACAAGCCAAAGAAGCTGCGAGTAGCAAAAAAAAAACTTACCCGTTTTTTCTCTTCAATGTTTGCCTTTATAAGGGAGTAAATCGCGACGCCTGCAATGGCTATTGCAGTACCAATCCCAGTCTGTGTGGAGATCCTATTGCCTGCCAAACATTGCGACCGTTAGATGCAGGAATTGTATGCCTTGAAGAAAACCATTTACTACACAGAAAACTTTGTTTTCATGTGTTGTTTATACTAGGAGTAGCGGTAATTACCGAACACCACTATGGAGAACCCGATCACAAATACTCTCTTCAACACATTTCCAACTGCATGTGTAAGTGGTGCAACTCGCTCCAAAGTGTTCGTAGCGATCTGGAATCATAAGGTTGAAAGTTAGTCAAACAGAAAAAGCAAAAAGGCACCTACATGGTTATTGTAACAAGGGTCATTGTCCAGCTTGAACTTTTGAGTAAATAGGCAAGCGTCCACCCATTACAGTTATCCATATATATATAGTTATATGCTAACTTGAGCCAGAGGCTGCAGGCATTTCTAAAAGTACATTCAGTTAAATCTCATAACATGTAAAATGCTGAAAACACACACACACACACACACGACTAGTGCAACAACAAGGCAATGTATGCATTTGCTCCACCCGCAGCATGGGCTGAAACATGTTGAATGTGATCAGCAGCACGAAAGGTCACGACGAGTCATGTATATAACTCACATTTCGCACACTTGAGTTCAGAGAAGCTAAGAATGCTACATGTTTTACCTGATTGTACAGATGGTAGAACATTCCAATCCAAAACAGATCAGACAAGAACTTGTATAGACCGACTTTGGCAATTGCATCCGCAAATCCAAATTGCATCAGCTTGGGCCCTTCGATCTGAAATTTAACAAAAACCAATCCATAACGGTTTTAATCTTTGGAAAATTTTAAATGAACAAGAATGTCAAAACTTCAGTACACAATTCCAATTGAGCAAACTTACAAGTACTGCTGGTGGGATGCAAAAGAGGAGGGCTATTATTGAAATGTAAGCATACACATTGGTACTATCCATTCCAGTCTGTTAAGAATGAAAATTGTTTAAATAACATAATGTAGGAATGTGAGAAAAAAAAAAAAAAATCATTGTCTTTGTGAGAATAAAAACTACTGTACATATTTTCGCTATGAAAAGTTCGGCATTTGATGAACAAAAGACATGCAACCAGAAATGCCTCATAAACTATCGAATCAGTGTATTGCTCTACATGGCATTACATGCAGTGATTTAGACGAGACATCATATCATCAAACAACATGTAAAATGTGTTCATTCGTTAAATCCTACAATGCTCTTATTTAAATACAAACAAATTACAAGAAAAACAGCAGACGCAATAAAACGCCGTCAAAATGACAATAAACTCAAGTCATATTCTAGTATGTTGCTTTAGACATCGGCATGATCATTTCAATTACACTCTAACAATGCCTTATTACCCGTCATTCACTGAAATCCTAAAACACCCTTACTGAAACAACAATAACAAAATCAATTAAATGCCATTAGAATCATAGTGTACTGAGACATATTCTTCTCAATAATCTACTTATATGTTCAATTTTCAAGGGATATCAAAATATCACAATTATGTGGATTATGAAAAAAAATAATAATAGTTTCCTTACATATTAATGTGTATTTGTTATGAGAACCTTACAGTCTATGGTTCGACTCAAAGCCAGTTCCCTGTAAGATGGATTCTGATTGCCAGAAGAATTCATTTGGTTGCATCAGAATTAGTCATGTGGCCAAGTGGAAAGTGGGAACGAACCCGGAAAATTCCATTTTCGTGGACAAATGTTTTATAAGAGATATTCTTTTATTTTACTTATCAAAAAAAAAAAAAAAAAAAGAGATATTCTTTTATTTAAAATAAAAATTAAAAAAAATAAAGAAACCTCACTTTCCATGGACAATGTCAAACAACCAGGGTCTCATGTCCCATAAAAAGAATTTAGAATACTGAAAAGAACTACACTTTCTGAAGGATGTTACCATTGCTTTCTTTGAATAGATACTCCTGTAGGTGAACGCAATATTTGAAATCATTGCACTAACGAAACCGAGCCAGTTGAAAGAAAGTTCAGTCAGCGACGCCATTGATACACCTAGCAGAGGCATTAGGAAGTGCATCAGCACCCAAAAAAAAAAAAAAAACCAGTTATATTATAAAATACTAGTGGTTTATTGCTTTTTTCAGAGATATAACTGACATATCTAACCGATGATGTCAAAAAAATCATTCAAATACTTGATAAAAAAACATCTAAATACATGTACAGAAGCACACGTATTAGTGTGATTTGTACTGCACAAAAAAGGTTTGTAAGAGCATGGGAACAAGTTATTTGACAAGAAGATAGTCGGCAAGTAGTTACCAATAACAACAGGGGCCAACGATAGCCATAAGGAAAGGGGAATCTGATGGCCTAAAACAAACTGAGAAGCGGCAGCGTTGAAGAATGGCTCCAGGGCTGTACAAGAACATCAAGAGAATAATTAGGTCTAGAAGAACAAGTATTGCAAAAGAAAGCATGATAAACACAACTTCATACAGCTAAAAATAAAGCTATTTATACCACTTTTCAAAGTAGAAGTATGTTTAGGTAAACTTGAGTATCCATGAATCCACAAACACTAGGACAATAATTATAGATTTTGAAAAAGATGGACCGAAATTGCAAGATGCTATCACTATTACTGCTAAAATTAGTCAAGAAATTAAATGGTAAAGCTTCAAGCCTACAAAAGCAGTATTCGCTTTGAAGCTGTAATGCTTTCGAATGTCCATTGTTTTAAGACACACCGATCCAAGGCAAAATTTGAAAAGTTGTACATCATCAACTAACAAATATTGAAATAAAAAGTATCATCATGCACTACAGTGACAATCTCACCTACAGAAGGAGAGGTAACAAGCACAATAACTGGCACTTCATAGAAGTGGTGTCAATAGTCTCCAATTCTACAACATACAAATCCGCATATATAATCATAAAATTTTAAATAAAAATAAATGGATACAAGCAACATTCTTTTGACTTTGTAGCCCTCATGTCTCGAGAACACACTGATACATACACTGATACATACATCAGAAATGAGTAGATTCCTGAATTATCTATAAAAGAATATGTAGAAGAACAATACGTACAATGAGCTAGAGATAGAGTTGTTTTCTAGCAGAGTTCTGTACCTTTGATGGTATGTGTAAAAGACACAGCAACGGCAGCGAATGATACATTAGACATGACATGTCCAAGGGCGTGACAGAATGCTACCGGAGTGAGGACTGCCAAGAGTTCCTTATCTATTGGCTGGGCATGGATTGACATTTAACAGTCAAATAAAATATGCAAAGTAAAACGTGCCTCACACAGAAGTAATGGCAAGTGCAGAAGATGAAACTCACTGCGCGTTTTGGAAGACCGACACCCCAACTGACTAGACAGTACACCACACCAACTAGAAGATGTACAACCGAGACAAAGCTGCAAAAGGGGAAAAAGTTTCTTTTGATTATCACAAATTGGAAACAATGAGTGTGTTTAAAGGGGTTAAACTCTTTCAGCAAAGATAACTTACTATGGATACGGGAAATAATTATAGACCTTCTTGTTGAGTATATTGAAGATGACATTTAGGAAGTACCTGAAAAGAAAAACACAACAATTTAGTGTTTGTGTCACATACACACGTGGGCGTGCATCTGAATGTCTAAATGTTCATGTCAACAATAATAATATACCATCTCACAGAGTATACTCTTCAAGAGAGAATTAGAGAAGTCTAAAATCTGCTCCATATTAATCAAAACCATGTTTGCAATGATGTATATTCCAATATATGTTATATAGACTGTGGATGTGTCTAATTGTTGTATTCACCATCTTCAAGCCTAAGGACACATGAACTAAACTATATATCTGTACCTTGAGCTTATTTTAAAAAAGAGAATTTAAAAGGAAACAATTTTATGACCAAAATCATATGATAAACCTAAATTATCAATGTGCTTCCTAGTTGCATATTGGACTTGGAAAATCCCAAAACCTATACTTAAATGTCATGTGTTCAAAATGGTACTTCTAACATTTCACTGGTATAGAATTGATGAAACAAATATTTCAATTAAAAACAAGTGCATCCAACAATTACAACTTTGTTTTTTTTTATTTATTCCAATAAATTTGTTCCGATTTTATAGGATGTTCGGAAAGGACACTATTACTTAAATTTAGCATACAATTATCTAATTGAGTAATTGAGACACATACATGATGAAGATTGGACAATCAACACATGAAAAAGAGCTTACCAAGTGAAGAAAAAGAAGCCAGTAAGTAGGGCCGGAAATTTCTCAGCAAAGCTCTTAGAAGGCTTGGAGACCCTGCAATTACAATAATGGTTATCAAACAAAATTAATTCAAATATATATATATATATTGAAAAATAACAAAAATATTTAGACAAAAAAAAAAAAAAAAAAAACACCCAACAAATATAGAGTTGCATAAGCTGATACCCATCGGTAATGTCAATTTCAAGACCATCAGCATCCGCAGCTGCAGCATTGGTGACCGGAAATGGAGCCGAACCACGCCGCGTCAAAAGTTGCCCCCAACCGGAAAATTTCAAGGGCTCGCTAACCGGAGCTGGAGATATACGATTCTCCGGCAACAATGGCGAGAACTCCGAGCTCGAGGAGGCTCTGGGAACAAGTGAACGACTCTTGAGCACAGCTAAATTAGGCGAAGCAGCTCTACTCAGAGAAGAAAATTGAGAACGGTTGAGTAAAAGCTGAGTTGAATTAGTGATCGAAGCCATCTTAAACAAAACAAAGAAAAATCAAACCGTGCGTGTGTGTGTGTATATATATATATAGTTATAAATAATCTACTACTACAGAGCTAAAAAGATGGAGAATTGAATTGGAAGAAGATGGATTGTATTGATTTTTGGGTATGGAAGCAAACAAAAAACATTGAATTTTTACGTTGAAATCGAGGAATTATAGAAAAAAAAAATTAAGCGGAGATAACAGAGAGAGAATTAATAGTATATAATTATAAACAAAGTTGTACAAAATACAATAAAAATTTGATGAGATGAAGCTTTGATTAACTTAGCATTCGATTGAAGCTTTAGAGAGTTCAAAAACACGTTTTATTATTAATATGTGTGTGACTCTGTGTAGATGAGCTTGAACTCTGACTTAAAAACAGTGTCAGTGTTTCTAAATAATAATATTTTGAAGAAATTCAAGCGATTCCCAAAAACATGACTGTTACTTGTAGCAACAACTGCTTCAATTATATATATATATATATACTGTATATATATAGAGAGAGAGGAGGGAATTGTTTGTCTTTTAGCTTTAAGTTGGTCTGTGAGAGAGAGAGTCCCTTCTCATTCTGTGTTCTTTGCGATGTGAAGGATTAAAATTCTCTATTGCCAAAGTGTGTCCTGTAATAGTGATGTATTTTACAAAATAATAATAATAATAATAATAATAATAGCCCCATTTTGCATTCTATCTTACAAAAATATTGGATGTTCAACTTCACATTCACCAAAAAAAAATTGTAAAATAAAAAGTATAAAATATTATAATGTTCAGCTTCTACGATACAACATTTTAATAGGGTATAATGGTATATCACAAACATGAAGGGCTGTTCTTTCGGAGTGTTGAATTTGTTTGGGATAGTCTGGCTCTTTGGTTTTAGGTTTTCTGATTCTAATCATACGGCTATCTTTAATGCCAGAGTCAAAGGTGTACGAAGCACAAGATGTAAACCATTTTACAATGTTCATGCAATGTGGATGACATAATTATATATATATATATATATATATAAAAGTTAAAGCAAACACACCAAATTATAGTGCGACTGAATATCTTCTACTTCCTTTGAAGAGGAGAGGTGGTAATGTAGTATCATCAGACAATGAACATAATATTACCAAATTAATAAAAATTAATATAAGATAATAAGATTCACTATCTTTCGGTTGTATAGTGTTACTGTCTAAGCATTGAAATTGAAAAAAAAAAAAGATTTAAATTAATTTCAGGATAATAATTTCATGCGAATAGTACATTGAATCGATTAATACTAACAAGACTTAAATATATTTTTATTTATTTATTGTAATAAAGTATAATTAGTTGATGACACAGTCATATTGATTGATGGCACGTACATCTATACTTTGCGTATTTGAGTTCCATCTATTTTGACTGTTTTTTCAAAAAAAAAACAAAAAAAAATAGCAAGTAGGACAAGAAAGAGTGGGACTGCCCACATATATGTTTCTTTTTAGCTTACGACCTTTCTGTTTCTGTTGGTTTTTAAAGTTTGTTACGCCATTGATTCCATACTCCATGCCAAAAATATTTGTTATGGCAAAAACTAACTAAATCTTTTTAGTGGGTGGAAGTTTGCCAAGCACAACTTTCCGGGAAAAAGGGAAAAAAGAAAGGAAAGGAAAGGAAAAGAAAGGAGAAGTTAGTTGAGCACAAGTGAAACAGCTTTCCTTGTGTTTACTATGAAATGAACTCATAGTAATGGTGGGAAATTTTTTTTTGGGTACTACTCTGTGATAAAACAGTTTGATTCTGGTTTTGTTCTTAGTTTGGGGGTCCAAAAGGATTGAATTGAAACTATTAATAGTCCTAAAATGTATATACAAGCATATTATACAATACATTACACTTCGTTCACCAATCACTACCGAACGAATGTCACGTGGAGAAATTATTAAATATCTCGAGAGTACCCTGTTTAATGATGAGTAATTATTCCATATTATCAAATAAATTGACTATTATTCATTCCATGAGAGTATACAATATCGTAAATGCCCTTGGAGTGTCCAATAATTTTTCATTTTTTTATTTTAAAGGCAAACTCTTTTAAAATATCATAATTTTAAAACAAAGAAGAAGGAGAAAGAGCATAGAAAAAACTTTTCACTTAACCCTTAAAGGGAAGGAAAATGGGAAAATCTGGAATAAAGAAAGAAAAAGAAATAAGCACATTTCAGAAAGGGGCCCACTAGTAGGATTAACTGAAAGTTGAGAACCCAGTCCAAGCTCAGCCCAACCCAAATTAGGCCTGGCTCAGCAACCCAATGTCATAAATCACTTTTGGCGTAGGTTGCATTGCAGTTTGGATCAAACGCTTAAAACCCTAGAAAACCAACCAAATTGGAGCCTGTTTCAAATCTCGATTCAACTTTGGTGCCATTATATAATCTCAGTGTATGTATAATTTATTTGTGTCACCAATTAAATATATATATATATATATATATATATATATATATATATATTTATATAGAAGTGTCTGTGAGGGCAATGAGGGGTGGTATTGGCAAAGAAGAGGAACAAGACGGTATGTCTGTACATTCTCCTTGCAAAGCTCCTCCTTCCTCTGCATCTTCTCTCCGCAAGGTCACCTCTCTCTTTCTCTCTCACATATATATACAAACACTCACGTGTATAAATATATATAAATATATATATTCGAATTTGGGTTTTGCATAAGCTGATTGTTTTTCAAGTCGTTTCTTATTGGGTAATTAGGAGCAATCACAGGTTGAATTGGAGCTTAGATTGTTAGAACCTCTTGAAATTTATCCTCCTGACAAGTTAAAAGACAAGTTCACCAATTTCCACTTTAATATGCTCTCTCCAAAATCAGAGGTCGCATTTTAAAGTAGATTTTTTTTTTCTTCAAATGTATCTGAAACATTTTAATGACGTTGTGGTCTAAAATTGGAACATGGTTTGGTGAACAGTATGAGGAAGAGTGGGGACAGTTTGTTTATATATATATATATATTATTGGTGCACTAATTATATTAAAGGAGATCATGATATGAAAAATAACAAAGTTGCTTCTAGTGATATTCTTGATGTATGTTGATAATGTTATTGCTAATAATTCTTCTTCTTGTGTAATAGAATTTAATAAATTTGAAACATTGAGCAATGTTGGTTCTTATAATTTAGATGATCAGAAGAAGGAGTTCACGACACGGAGGTTTCAGTCTTTGTCCCTTAAAGAGTCCAGGTCTTGGTCTTTGTTGACATCAGTACTTTTTTTCGCTGACTGTTAACAAAGAAAAAGTATGTGTTTATTCGTGTATAAATATTAAAGAAAGTAAGTATAATTTGACAAATAAAAGGGAAAATCTATATATATTAAGGAAATTTCAAGAATGGTAAGGTTGTGTTTGGCTTTGGAGTTTTGGAATTGGTAGAATTTTGAAAAAAATTTGATTCAATTTTTTAAGTCTGCTTCTTCTTTCACAAATTTCAATTCCAATTCCAATTTCATGCCAAACATAATCTAAGTGGAATTTATCTTTTTTCTAATTTGTTATTTTAACACCCATGTAGCACATGTTTTTGAGTGTGAACTCGGTTTTTTTTCCTGAAAGTTAGTGCGAACTCAGGGTTTTGCTGAAGGCAATTAGAAAGGTGTGTGAACTTGGGGTTCGGGAATCTTTTTGACTGCTTTATGGTCTTTGTTTCATTGCTAAATTTGCATTGGCGTGATGGTCACTTTCTACGCCAAAGTCTTTCCAAGTGATCGCCCCCTTACATATATATATATCTATAAGTCATACATTGGTTATATATATATATATATATCATCATCATCATCAAGTAAAACGTAGTATACTACCATAACTTCCTTTGTTCAGTCCTTTGTTGGAGCCAAAAAAAAGAGAATGAGAAGCAAAACTTCTTCCACCTATTCTTGTCTCACCATATGTTGTTTATTCATGATTTGGCTCATCATGCTTTCACCTGTACTCTCTGCGCGGAAATTATCCACCACTCCCAGCAGCTGTAAGTACTCTCTCCTCTCGTACCAATGTCCAAACTCTTATGTATGCACATTGAGGACAATGTTGAATAAACATGCTGACAATATATTGATACAAAGTGCATATAGATATTGAGTAGGAAAAATAAAACACACTAAAAGGTACAAAAGACGATAAAATAGGTTGAGCAAACATTTTGTTTTATTTAGTAGTATATTGATACTACTCTTAACTAACTAGCCTACCTTTGTCCTAGTGGCTTTGGATCTTAACCCTAAGTCCTAGGACAAGGTTTCAAGATTGGTAGAGGAGAATAAAGAAAAATATACTACTAAGTAACTATCCTTCCACACCGTGTAACTTGGGCTGGATGATTCTAGGAAGCTGTTGTTAGGGTTGACAACAGCTGGGAGACATTGTGCATGGTCGGCCTAGATTGTGGATTGGCATTTAAACATGCAATGGCCAGCTTTATAATTGATATCAACATCTCTTCACCTTCGGTTGAGGGAGCTGAGAGGCGTTGGTCCAACACATCTTTCGGCATTATGTTCTGATCAATAGATGAAGACGATAGTGAGGTGATGAAATTTCCTGGATGCTTTCCTTTGATCACTTCAAGTGTCAATACCCCAAAGCTATACACATCGCACTTTTCAGTTACCTTCATTGTGAGAGCAAGCTCTGCAAAGAAAAAGTAAAATATGACCTTGTATAATTGACCTGCATTACTATATATGTCAAATTAGTTAGAACAACACAAAGCTACATTTACCTGGTGCAATATATCCATAAGTGCCTGCACGTGTGCTCCAATTTGAGGAGTCTAGCTTCAAAAGCTTAGCAGTGCCAAAATCTGAAACATGTGCCTCATACTCGATGTCCAACAAAATATTGTTGCTTGATAGGTCCCTATGAACAATTGGTGGTGAGCAATCATGGTGCATGTAAGACACAGCATGAGCCACCCCCTTAATGATATTCACCCTTTTGGGCCAATCCAAATTTTCAGCCTCGGCATCTCTACTCAATATCGAGGCCAAGCTACCCTTTTCAAAGTACTCATAAACCAAAAATGAGTGTTGAGCATGTGAACAGAAACCATAAAGCTTCACAATGTTCCTATGTCGTACTTCTGTTAATGCCCTTACCTCGTTCAAAAACCCTTTATGATCTGCTGGCTCAGATAATGGGTTAAGTTTCTTCACAGCCACTATATTGTCTGGTCGTAATTTTGCTTTGTAGACAGTTCCACATCCTCCTTTCCCAATGCAATACGAGGCATCAAAATCATTGGTGGCTTTTAAGATTTCATCATACATTGCTCGACCATCAAAATTGGAAATTAAAAACAGATTGTTTTCATCCTGCAAGTTGCCTTGTTCGATTGGTGCTTTTCTTTTTCTTCTTTCAAACAGGATTAGGAGTCCAATGAATGCAGCAAGAAGTATAAGTGCTCCCACAAAAGGTAATACAATTATAAGAACTCGAATGAATTTGTGGCTTTCCTTCACAATGTGTTGGCCATTTTTGCAAGGGTTCAATCCTGTAACATTGCCACACAAACCGTTGTTCCCTTGTAATGCCTCTATGGTAGCATTTCTAAAGGCATTGTTGCTGGGAATGGCACCTCGAAACCCATTGTAGGATATGTCAACATACATCAACCCATGCATTTCTTCAAAAGCCTCTGGAAGGAAACCAGAGAGGTTATTGTGGGAGA